TTTCTTTCGTCTTCCGGCCAGACTGGCGGTCAGCCGCCGCCATCGAAAAAGTCAAAGCACACACCCAGTGCAAGGACCATTTTGTATTGGCCCGGCGGCCATCTATGACGGCATGATCCGCGGGGCCAGAAAGGATGATGTAGTATTCAGTAGGCTAACGGACGGAAGGTGCGGCTGGCTGGCACTAGGGGCACGTACTGCGTGGTATAATCAGCAGCTACTCCGTATACCATCATGGTCCGATTCCGCGCCGCGGGGTGGCGTAACATGGGTTGACAGCTAGCCAGCCGCGAGAAAGAGAAAAGAAGAATCTAAAACAAAAAAAAAAAAGAGTGCCTGGCCGCCCGCCCGCCCGCAAAGGATGGGGGGTCCCGTGCCGCTGAATGTGATGACAGTACATAGATAGCAGCAGTAAGGTGGTGTGCGGACATGTACACATGCGTGTGAACGTGCGAAGTCAAGCACGAGCCCTTTTTTTTTTTCTCTCTCTCTCGCGCTCTCTCTCTCTCTCTCTCTCTTTTCGTATCCTTGATCTGGGCAGGCGCGCGTGACGTGTGTATGAGTGTGTTTCACTGCCCTGTCCTGCCTGCCTTTCCTTTTCCTTTCTCACTCTCGCTCTCTCCCCCTTCAAAAAGGGGCCGACTGGAACGCATGAACTGCAACACATGAAGTCAAAAAAGGTGGATGGGTGGGCAAGGCATGGGGGCCACCATGGCAGGGCCCGGCGCGGTGCGGTGCGGCGGCGGGGCGGGGCAGCGACGAACACCGAGAAGGAAGAGACGCGCGCCAGCGCCAGCCCGCAACCCACTATTGATGAGACTGGGTGCCACCCAGCCACCCGTCACGCTGGCTGCGCTGCTGCGCGTGTGTGGGGCCCGGACTTTCGGCGTCGATTGGGATGATGCAGATCTAGGGGTCCACCAACACCAGACACCCACAAGCGCGGGCTCCTGCCTCACGCGCGCGTGTCTATGTGCTGTGATGTGAGGGCACAAGCGCAAGGAACGTGAATCATGGAAGCGCCAAGCCCCAGTGCCAGCTGGGGGGACACGATGATCTTCAGCCAGTCACACTGCCCGGCATTTTAAAATGATTGGCACTGTATGTACATACAAACGGCCAACCAGCTCGCAGAACGGCAGAATCCGGCGCGTATTGGCTGGCTGTCTCTCGTTGACTGATGTGAGCCGCGCTGCGCCCTGCCCTGCCCTGCCCTGCTCTGCCCTGGCTTGCGTACTCTACGCGCCACGAGGCGCCCTTCCTCCAATTCTGTTTCGGAATGTTGTTTTGCGTCTCTCTGCCTAGTCATCATCATCATCCTCGATGTCATCGTCGCTCAGCACCAGGTTCGCCAGTCCCTTCTCACCGCCCGTTCCAATCACCATTTCTCCGGTGTGATCGTCGTGCAGCGTTGCTGTTGCTGCCCCTCGTCCTCTTCCCGTGCTCGTGCTAGTGCTCGTGCTCGTGCCTGTGCCTGTGCCGCTGACGCCTGCGCCTGCGCCTCCAACAAGCCTCCTCCTCGATCCCGGCCTTGCGGGTCTCGTTGATGACGGGTCGTGCTCCGTCGGTCCATCCGTGCTCCACTGGTCGCCGCCGTTGCGGAGCACGTCCTCGTCGTCGCCCTCGTCGCCGTCGGCGACGCCGTCGTCAGCGCCTATTCCGACGCCGCTGAAACTGGTGATCTTCTCCACCTCGCTCAGCCTCGCGGCGGGGCCGCCGACGTTCGAGGTCTGCTTCTTGTTGCCCTGGCGGAGCATCACGGCCGAGTACGGCAGGCGTTCGAGTAGCATCTCGCGTTTCAGGGACCCGCTGCTACCGAGCGGCGTTGCCATGACGCTGTCTTGTTGCGTGATGTCGGCGGCTGCGGTGGTATTGCTGCTGCTGTTGTTGTCGTGTCTCGAGGCATCGAGACTCAGTCGCTTGTTCCACGACTCAACAGTGCCCCGTTTGGGTAGGTGTGCGAATGTTTCGGCGCGGTTTAGGCCGTCCGTCTGAGCCCGGCGGATGTAGAGGTCTAGAAGACCCTCAATCTCCTCCTGGAGACGCCACAGCCTGAGTGATGTGGGATAGAACATTTTGTGCGCGTCAGCCCTGCTCGACCCTCTGCCTCTCACGGTTCCTGGTGGTGGAGCTGATCGATTGACTGGGTGAGGAAGGCTGAACAGTAGACCACGTACGGATGCGTGGAAGCTCATCTCGTCTTGCTGTAAGCTGTCTGTGCTGGAGCTTTGATATGTTCGTCGGGAAGTCCCGGCCGAGCTGAAAGGAGCGGGCGAGAGCAAGTCAGCATCCGACAGCGCGTCGATACACCCGTTGATTGAGTCTAGTGTGTCTTCCTCGCTCCCAGTGTTGCAGGAGAGGACGTAGTTCTCATGCAGAGCGGAGATGAAGGTCTGGATATCGGTGCCGAGCTCGTCCATCAACGCATCAACATCGATTTCAGATGCCTTTGGGCGTCGGTATTCGGGAAAATAAGCTGGTGGCTGAGAAGCAGCGGAATTGGAAGATTCATCCCTTTTGTTGTACACCACCTTCCCGACGGCATGGAATATACCGAGCGTGCTTTCTCTCTGAGAGACAAGCGCCATGGATTCCTGTTCCATCTTCGTCATGGGCTTCTGTCTTGCCCCCTTCTTCACCGCTTTGAAAGTCACACGGCTGCCCCAGTCGGCATTGTCGTCGCCTCTCACACAGAGAAACTCCAGGCTGGAAATGGCACTGCGGACGTCGCCAATCTCGGAGAGCTGCTTGATGACTTGCGGGCCTGGTGTCGTTTTTCTCCCGGATTTGCGTGCTTCCTTGGCGACAACAAGCTCAAGCGCCTTGGTCAAGAAGGTTGGTGCTATCGGATTGAACTCTATAATGGTAGTGCCGGGGTGGTTCGATATCTCGGGTCCAAGAAGCCGGTGAGCTGTAAAGCTGTCTGCGGCCGCTGTGTTGGTGGAAAGCAGAGTTTCTGAGATGATCATGACAATGGGCGTTGGCGGGGGCGCATCTGCGGAGCGAGTGAACATGGCACCTAGGGACGGCACAGATGAGGAAAGATACTGCTCGATTGCTGAACGAAAGGACTGCAAGGCTGCGGAAGAGCGTGTAAAGGTGTTTGGGAACTCTTCGATCAGCACTATTTGCTTGCCCGTGCCGTTGGGCGGGGAACTCTGAGAGCCGATCCCATCGCTGGGACCGAGATCCAAGCTGCCGAACTTGCTGCGACCCATGAAGTCCTCGAACTGGGCGGACAGAGAGACGAAAGCGTCAGAGGAAAAGTCAGAGCCCATGGGGTTCTTCCATTCATTGATTTCGAATCCTACATCTTTGGCCAGCAAATTGACAGTGGTCGTCTTAGCGGTACCTGCAGCACCCTTCAAGACAAGGAGACGTTTGCGCTCTCGTCCACTGAGGACGTTGGTCAGCCAGGCCTTGACGTCGGCAACCTTGCGCTTGTGGACGGCCAGTTCGTCAAGATTGGCTGGGCTGTATCTCTCAACCCAAGGCCTTTCATCGTCCTCGATTCTAGCGGCTGGTCGGCTCTGGCTGGAGAGCGTTTTTAGAAACTTCTGACTTGCGCTTGGCAGCGCGTCCTGCTCAGGGTTTTCGGCGTCACCGGCAGCGCCGCGCGTGCGCGTGCGTTTGCGCCATGCTGCGTGTGCCCCAGATTTGTTGGGCTCGTCGTCTAGCGAGTCGTCCTGTATCGTGTCGTCCTGGTCCTCAACAGTATCAGTGGGTGGCAGCCCCTGCGAGGCCACGGGCTGATCCTGGGTGCCGTGGACACGTTGGCGCTGTGTGGCAGCATTGAAGAAGGAGAGAATGTTTCTTTCTTTGGGCTGAGGCTGGGGCTTAGCGCGAGGCTGGGAGCTGCGCGACGACCGGGACGGGGCCTTGCTCTGGGTAGAATCTTCGTCCGAGGACAGCACGACGGCCTTCCTCTTTGCGGAGCGCAGCTGCGGCATGCCGCACGGTTGAGGCTGTCAAGGTTGGGATGGCAGGGATCATGATCGAGAGCGCAGCGCAGGCGCGAGCGACGTGCGACGTGCGGCGTGCGGCGTGCGGCGTCGGTGCTCGGAGGAGACGCGATTGGAGGCGCGGGCGTTGCGGCGCGGCCCTCGGCGGAAGTCGTGGCCAGGTGACTAAGCGCGGTATCACGTGTGCGGGCGACGGACTCGGCGCCCCTCCCGCCCGCGCGCCCTGCCATCCCGTCACATCACACTCTCACGCCTGCTTCCCTGCCCAACCAGCGCCACCTCCATCCAGCCGAGTCCACGACTTCCGCCTCAATTGGGCCCGCTATATTTACGCCCCGGCCTCCCCATCTCGCCCACGGCCGCGCTGGCTCGTCCCGCCCGACCCCAACGCGTGTGATTTGAAGCCCCGGCGGCGATCCGTAAGGTCCATCGTTGAGGATGGCGCCGGCGCTGGCCAACCGCCCATCACCACGCATATGCGCCCGTTGCGAGGGTGCATGATTGTCATGCAGCCGTCATGCAGCCGCGCATGATCCCCAGCAGCCCTCCATTCAGGCCCGCAACACAGCTTCCGCATCAGTGCCCGCGGAACCTGCCCCGACCTGAAGACAGCTGCGGCCAGGGTTGTCGCTGTACACGTATCTGTGCGACATTCGCAACCGCCCGGCCGTCAAGTTGTAGATTGCCAGATGTGCAGCCGATGACTGTCGACCGACCGGCCCCCAGCCATGTCTTTTCCCGGCGCTCCTCATTGCTCGCTTCCGCCAACGCGGCCCTCGTAAGCCCGTCGCGATGCCGTCATCTGTATTGCTGTCGCGGCTGTTGGAGCCCGAATGGGCTCTGATGCGCCTGCGTTCATGTATCCATGTCCCTACAGGGAAATCCTCCGCCACGCAGACCAGCAGCTGGCGTATCTAGCCTCCGTTATTAGACGTTCTCCTCTGCTCTATGCTGCCACGCAATCACTCTTCGTATCTCATCATTTGCTCTCGAATACCATCATCCAGCGATAAGAAGTCGACACATCTCATTGCATCTATAACTTGACCACTGATTTCGCTCCACCATGTATTCGCCACGAACGCGCAGGGTTTTAGAAAGAGGAGGAGATTCCAGATCGAAGGGGAAGGTTTTGAGGAAGGCATCGCGGCAGACTGAATACACCCCACCTACCAGCCCAGACATCAAGCCCGAGAACCTCCCACCCCTGCCCGCTTCCATTCCCCCATCACCAGCCCTCTCGGCGCAAAAGTCACGACAGACCAGTCCAGCGCCGTCTGCTACATCTCTTTCCTCTCGCCGGTCGGACGCCACGTCAGTGAGGTCCGCCCTACAGCCCACCGTGGAGGACTACAACAGTGACAACGAAGACACTCAACCCTCGGGGTCAGAACGATCCCAGACCCCAACTATAACTTCACCACCACCCGAGCCACAGCAGAGCAACGCACCTTCAGAGGCTCCCACGAGCACCAGCACTGAGGCTTCGGCACCGGAGGACCAGAGTGACGGGAGCAAAGCTGCATCGGAAGCCCCAGCTACTCCCAGCCAGGCACCAAGCTCCATCAGCAAGGCACCAAGTTCCGCCAGCAAAGCACCAAGTGCCGCCAGCAAAGAACCAAGCGTCGCTAGCAAAGCGGCAACCGCCGCTAGCAAAGCACCCACTACCACGAGCAAGACGCCAACTTCAGTGAGCAAAACTCCGAGTGCAGTAAGCAAAGCTCCGAGTGCAGTAAGCAAAGCTCCGAGTGCAGTAAGCAAAGCTCCGACTGCGCCGAGCAAGGCCCAGAGCTCCATCAGCAAAGCCCCCACCCTTGCCAGCAAGGCCCCAACCACCACAAGCAAGGCTTCAGGGACCGTTACTTCGGGAGGAGGGTCTTCATCGAACGAAAAGGCTGGCAGTGACGGAGCCCACGAGAACGAAGACAGCCTTGCCACTGCCGAGCCCCTTCTTCCAGAAGATAGCATTTCGCAGCAAGGGGACGACGACGTTACAAGCCACGCGACTTCATACCATTCGGCAGCTACGCCAGTCCCGCAGTCACCCACAGCCGCATCTGCGTCGAGGTCGCCAAAGGCGGCATCAATCAAGACGGACTTCCCGAAGAGCTCACCGTCGCTCTCCTACGCCGAAGCCCAGAACGAGTTCGATCAAGCCCAGTCACCCACCGCTGCGTCGTACGCACAGCCCAGAGGTCCCTACTACAGTCCTTACGCAGACCCCTACTCGTCTCCTATGCCCGGCTACCCCCAAGGTTACTTCTACCCACCACCCCACATGGCTATGGCACCGCCTCAGGGCACGCCTCCCGGCTACGGACAGTCCCCGTTCGGCTACAATGGCGGCCCGCCGTACATGGGATACCCGGGCAGCCCGCAGGCGCGGCGGCAGAACTCGATGGGCTCGCGCCGGAGCAGCCAGATGGGCGGCGACTTCGCCATGCCGCCGGGCATGGGCTTCGGCAACGGCGCTCTTGGTGGTGGTGGCGGCGGCGGCGGCGGCAACCCGATGAACGGAGGGTCGGCCGTGGTCGACGACGACGGGGCGGGCGACCTGCTGGGGCGCATCACGCAGGCGATCCCGGACCTGCACATGCTGCTGTCGCGGTACAACGAGACGCGGGGCCAGCTGGGGGCGCGCGAGGAGCTGATCAAAAAGGCCGAGGCGGCGCAGGCGGACGCGATCAAGCGCAAGGAGGACCACATCGACCAGCTGACCAAGCAGCTCGAGGCGGCGGCCAAGCACCACTCGTCGGAGAGCAACAAGCTGCGGCTCGAGATCGGCAACCTCGAGGAGAAGAAGAAGGAGCTGGAGGAGAGCATCGCCGAGGCGGAGCAGGCCAAGGCCGACATGGAGGCGACGCGCGCGCAGCTCGAGGAGCAGAAGACGACGGTCGAGGCCGAGAAGCAGGAGCTCGAGCGCACCATGGCCGAGGAGCGCGCCCGCCTCGAGACGGAGCTCGCCGAGCTCAAGGACAAGGCGGCGGCGCTGGAGGAGGCCAACGCCGAGCTCGACGGCGAGAAGACGGCGCTCGAGGAGGCCAAGGCGGCGCTCGAGGCGGATAAAGAAAGCCTCGAGGCGTCGCTCGCGGCGGAGAAGGAGGCCAAGGAAGCAGCCGACAAGGCCGCGGCCGAGGACAAGGAGCGCGTGGCCAAGGAGCACGAGGACGAGACGGAGAAGCTCAAGAAGACGGCCGAGGACGAGAAGATGGCGCTCGCGGTCGAGTTCGACCGGCTGCAGAAGGAGAAGGAGGACGCGTACGAGGCCGACAAGGGCAAGCTCGTCGACGAGCACGTCAAGGACAAGGAGGCGCTGCGGGCCGACCTGCAGCGCCAGAAGCGCGAGCTCGAGGAGAGCTTCGAGACGGTGCGCAAGGAGCTCGAGAACAAGCTGAACGAGGCGCAGAGCGGCCTCGAGGACGCGCTGAAGAAGGAGCGCGAGAGCCGCGAGCTGTGGAACGCGGAGCGCGAGAGCCTGAAGAAGGGGTGGGAGGAGGAGCGCAACGACCTGAAGAAGGGCTACGACGAGCAGACGGAGCGCCTGACCTCGCAGCTCAACAAGGAGAAGGAAGACCTGCGCAAGTCCTTCGCCGCGGAGCGGGAGGCGGCGGAGAAGAAGGCGCAGGAAGAAAAGGACAAGCTCATCGAGGAGCGCGACAAGATCAGGAACGAGTGGGACGAGGACAAGGCGAATCTCGAAAAGGTCATCGGCGAGCTCAGGAGCATCGCCGGCAACTTTGGCAACGAGAGGGAGCGGATGCAGAAGATCATCGAGGGCTTTGGCGAGGCGGCTGTCGTCAAGAGCAAGGGAGATGCGTACTAGTAAGTTCCTCTCCCTGGTCTCAGTCCTGTATTTCTCGACAAACCGAAAAAAAAAATTGCATTTTCGGGAGTTCTTATGTTCGTCTGAGGCAACGAGGCGCGGCTTTCCTCTCTCTTCATTTGACTTAGCAGATTGTATTCAGTGTTTCGATCTAGCGACCAATTTAATTCTATCGTTCTGGTCTCCAGCGCTGCGCCATCCTTGTCCTCTTGCCTCGATGCGTATCAGACGTTTGACATTCCATTTCCATCTGCTAACGTATCACTTCTTCAACACAGTCTTGACGCTTTCGCCCGTCTCCAGCAACAGGTCTTCTCCGTGTCCAACAACCACTTCAAGAAGCCCCCGAACCCAGCACCGGAGGCAGACCAGATCGGCGAGCTCCCCGCAGGGCTGCCGTCCTTCCTCGCCGACGACACGCCCGCCGCATCGCACATACGCATCTCGTACGTGATGCACAAGATCTCGTCCATCATCACGCTCCGCATCTTCACGCCCTTCCTCTTCAGCCCGGAGGGCATGGAGGACGCGACGACCAAGCTGCTGCAGGAGGTCAGCGACCAGCTGCGTACCAAGAACGCGCTGCGCGAGGCGACGTGGCGGCAGCACACGCTGTCCACCCTGTTCCGCGGCCCGGACGCCAAGCAGCGCATCAACCGCGCCGCCGGCGCCGTCGTCGACGAGATCTGCCGCGCCATCCAGCCCTTCGCCTCGGCCGGCGCCGACGACGAAGAGGTCGTGCGCGTCGAGGTCCGCCGCATCGTGAAGCTCGCGGCCGAGACGTGGCGCTTCGCCCGCATCGAGCGCGAGATGATGTCGGCGTCTCTGCCCGCGCCGGGCGAGGTCTGTGCCACCGATCACGTCGGCAGCAGTGGTGGCGACAAGGTGTACTGGCCGCAGCAGCCCTTCGACGACGCCCCCGGCTACCCCATCTCGTCCATCGCCGACTTCGACGAGGCGGCCAGAGCGCCGTCGCCCAAGTCGCGGGTGCTGCTGCGGCTCTTCCCCGTCATCGAGCGCGAGCCGAAGTTGAGGAGCGGAAACGGCGAGCACGACGACAAGCCGGATGACGGGTGCGTGTACTGCTACGGGCTGGCGCTGTACGAGGACTCGCCGCCGGTGTTGGCGCGCTTGCGCGAAACGGAGCTGGTGTCAGGTACGGACGAATCCTCTTCTGATCCCGCTCCTCCTGCTGCCGATGATGACGATGTTAAAAAGGAAGACTCGAGTGCTGAAGCGGTGGCAGAAGACCCTCCAGCTGCCGAAGAGGAGACGAAGGCAGCTGAGGAGGAGGGGAGCGGTGGTGATGGTGACGCCGCTGCGGCCGCGGCGGTTGCGGCGGCGGTTGCAGCTGCCGCTGTGGCCGCTGCTGCTACTGAGACGGAGGACGAGAAGAAGGATGAGGAAGGCGAGGAGAAGAAGGATGAAGAGAAGAAGGAAGGGGAAGGCGAGGAGAAGAAAGAGGAAGAGGAGAAGAAGGAAGAGGAGCCTCCGAAGCAGGACGAGGAGGCTAAAGAAGAAACAGCTGCGGAAGAGGGTGCGAAGCCGGAGGAGGCTGATGCTGCTGCTGCTGAGGCGAGCGAAGAGAGCAAAGACCCACCTGATTCTTCTGATGATGCTCCAGCGGCGGCCGATGGTGAAGCCGCGCCTGAGACGGCAGCTGAGGAGAAGCCGGCAGAAGAAGTGCCGGAAGCTCTTGCCGAAGAGAAGTCAGAGGAGAAGGCTGCCGAAGAGCCAGCAGGAGAAGAAAAGCCTGCGGAAGAGGCGAGCGGCGAAGAAAAGCCCAGTGAAGAGCAGTCTAGCGAGGAGAAGCCAAGCGATGAGGCGCCATCGGAGGACAAGCCCTCTGAAGAGAACCCTGACGGCGACAAGCCGGCAGACGAACAGCCCAGTGAGGAAACCCCTCCAGAAGAGCCTGCCGTCGGAGAGACAAACGAGGAGAAGGCGGAAGAAAAGAGCGGCGAAGAGCCGCCCGCTGAAGACAAGCCTGAAGAGAAGGCTGCCGAGGACACGCCTGCCGAGCCTACAGAGGAGAAGGCAGCGGAGCCAGAGCCAGAGCCAGAGCCCGCGGTCGACAATGCTGACGAAGCCAAGGCAGTCGAGGAGCCCTCTCCTGAAACTAAAGAGGAAGAGAAGCCTCCTGAAGAGGCTGCCCCGACTGAGGAGGTTGCCCCGACTGAGGAGACGAAGACTGAGGAGACGCCGGCGGAGGAGGCCCCCGCCGAGATGCCTGCCGAGGTGCCCACCACGGCTGAGCCTGAGGGTGACGGCTACATCCCCTTACCACGCAAGATCGGATCCACCCCGGGAATGCCCGCAGACAGTCCTCCGGCACCTGAAGAGGCGAAGCCACCAACGCCTCCTCCGCCGTCGGCCGAAGAGGCCACCAGAGCGCCCTCCCCAGCCCCCAGCAGGAAGGCCGAGAGCGTTCGAAGCAAGGCGCCAAGCGTTCGAAGCGAGCGAGCGCCCAGTATGCGCAGCGTCAAGAGCTCGTCGAGCCGCAGGCGCTCCTCATCACGGCCGGAGACGCCGAAGCCGGGGCTCGCTGAAAGCATCGCGGCGGCCAGCATCATCGCGGCGAGCCTGAAGGGCGCCGGGGGCGAAGACTCCAGCGACGCATCCTCGTCCATCCCGACGCTCCCCACGCCTTCGTCAGACGAGAAGGCCCGAAGCGTGCGCAGCGAGCGGCCGTCGTCGCGCACGCGCACGTCGCACTCGCGGCGCGGGTCCGAAGTGACGGCGGACGAGCGGCCGCACTACCGCATGAGAGACAAGCCCATCTCGCTCGAGCGCAGCTCCAGCCACCGAAGCGGCAACAGGGCGCGCACGCTGGGCGAGGAGGCGACGCGGGCCAGCAGCAGCCGGCGGCACTCGTCCTTCGCGGCCGTCGGCAGTCCCACGGTCGAAGCCATGACGCCGGCGAGCGAGGCGTCGCTGCGGGACCGCAGCGCGCCCCGCAGCAGCAGCCGGTATGCGGAGAGCATCAGCATGGATAGCATCAACCCCAGCGGCGGCGGAGCAAGCTCGAGGGGTGGTAGCAGTGGGAGCAAGTCGGGGACGGTGACGGATAACAGGAGTGCGGCTATCAAGGGGCTCTACCAGCACCAGAATCAGTACCCGCACCACCATGTTACGAGTTGAGCTTGAGGAGGCATGGTCAGTTGTTTCGGCGATTATGGCGAAGTATAGAAAGGCGGGCTAGGGGCGGTGGTATAGAGGTTGCGTCACTGTTTTGGCTGCATATGGTAATGGGCTGCATTTCGGCGTCCTTGGTCTTTCTTTTTATTTTCCTTGGCTGGTTCCTTCGGCGACTGGTTCTTGACCGTGCTTACACGCTATGCATTGCATTTACGGAGCCTCCTTTGGATGAAAAGTAAGGTATTCCTTGTCGGTAGCTTGTGATTGCTTTTCTCGCAGCCAAGACGTACGACTGTGGTCGGATGCTGGTGAAGGATGCGTCGATTCGAGGATCTCCACCGCAATAGTGGGTCGATGGATCTGGTTCGCTGTGCATGCACCCCGTAATAGCGGGGACGAGGAGGCGAGTGAGGTTGCGGAGATAGCCACGGCGATGGATTGGTCGGTGTGCTGGCTGGCCAGATGGACAGAGAACTGCTGCAGGCTCTGCACAGACAGGTTGCCGGACCGGTTAGAGTTAGTGTACGGCCAGGAGCAGAAACGGCGCGCGCGAGTACGTAGGCAGCGGCGGTGTCGGTTGGGTGGGCGTAGGGGGAGAAGAGTCTGGGTTGCACAACATGGATTGATTTTGCTGCAGGAGCGGCTCCGGGCAAAACGGCAGGTGCGGCTGCAGCGGACGGGCCGTGTGTGCTGACGGAACAGGCCATTACTGCGCCGATCGCGCTCCCGAGAAGCAGACAAGTTCCCCGCCGTTGTGGTCCCAGGCAGCTGACGGGTGCACGAGCGGCGGCTGCGGCTTGGGGGCCGTTTGTGGCAGCGCGGTGAGGCGCGGTGAGGCGCGCCGACGGGCTGTGACGGGCTGCGGTGGGCTGCATGCGGCTCGCGGCCCGCTGCGGTGCTCGACGCTCGACGCTCAACGCCCGACGCTCGACACTACTCGACACTCGACGCGACACGGCGGGAGAGCGGCCGGGGAAGCAGCGGCACAGCGGGTGGCGTCCAACAACCCTCTCGACTCGAACAAAATCTTTAGCCGTCAGGCCACCTGCCAGTAATCCCCCGCCCACTCGCATCTAGATTGACGGCGCGGAGCGAATCGACATGCATTGGGCCCGGACAGCCGGCTCGCTATACACACATAGCCGGGCCTCTGCTCCACGCTGCCCGCGCGCCAACAGCGCTGTCTGGCTCAGCTCTGTGGATGCTTACGCTTACCCGATGCGGGCCACCCCTGCCGCCAGAACTAGTCCTGAACACCAAACATGGCAATTGTTGTCGATCATGTTCGTATCCTCTCCACCGACCCAGATCCTGCTTCGCCTTCGTCCGGAGCGCCCTCCTTGCCGGCCGCTGATTGGCCGTGCTGCCTTTTCGTCTTCTGCCAGCCCTCGCGAGGAAATTGGACCAGAACAGAGACGCCCCCCAGGGCGAATGCAGCACCCGCGTTGCATGGAACCTCGCCGCTGGTACGAAGGCTCTGACGGTGCCGACTGCTGGTGCCTACCTGTGTCCTCGCGCGGACCGTGGCAATCTCCCGCACTGTGCCTGTCCACCTGCCCGCCTGTCCACCTGCCCGCCTGCCCACCTGCTAGTTACGAGGTGGCTCCACTTCCTCCGCCGCGACCACGCTCTAATGCGGGCCGACCCTCTTCTACGCGCCGGGTTGATCGTCCAGTGACGGATCAATCTCCATTGCGCCTTCGTTTGGCACTGGCGCCGGCCGTGGCATTCTCCATTGGGAACTGGCGCTGGCAAGCCAATGCCAAAAGCCTTGGTGACGATGCTCCAACGAGCACTTCGTCCAAATACCTGTTCTCGCTCTACGAGTCTAGAGCCTAAGCGAGCCCATGTGCCACGGCAAAAATGCTGCGCTCGCATGTGTGGCGCTACCATCCGTGCTAAATCTTTAGACAACTTATCCGGATAGCCATTGGAGAGAGTCTACCCGTTTATGGCCCGGCTTGGACATTGCTTCAATGACACTTGTGAAGAGATGCCATGTGGCTCCTCGTGCATGCTCGTGCTAATCTTGGAACTACGTGGGGAGAATCAAATCTCGATTGCCTGCATGTTCCTGGTTCGAAAACAAGCAAGCTGATCTGGCAGTCGACCCACTGGGAACATCACCCCCTGACCGCTCGGGCAGATGATTGCCGTGAGCATTGCTTTGGGACTTTGGGACTTTGGGACCCTTCAGCTTTCCACGACCCCCCCTGACTCAGAAGGTCCACCGCCCACAGTCGACTAGCCACCAACGGACAGGGGCCCGGTGTGATGTCTACTGATGCGGACGACTGGAAATGCCTCCGATTGGCAGGCAACCGCCTTTACTGCTTTGGTCCATGTAGCATGATGTTGGTGGAGGTCCATGGCTGATCATCATCCCATCACCTCCATCTGTTGTCCACGTCCCCATATCGAAGACGAGTTCTGGGCTTCAGCCAGCGCGGCAAGGTGGCGGGCTGTTGGCCGCTGTCTCCTTTGGATCCTTGCACGCACTCAGCCATCCATGCGGCTTCGACGGACGTGCCGACGTGCATACGACGCGAGACCCAGAGTATCGCAGACGAGCACATCGCAGTCAGGAAAAAGCAACATGGTACAGCTGGATAGTGATGACAGAGAGACCGTGGCAAGGAGCCTCCCAAAACCTATATAAACTCCCTTGACCCTCTCGTTCAAAGAGACATCATCAGCATCCATCGCTTCCTCTCATCCAGTAAAGCAGACGATTCAACCCTCTCGTTCCCAACCCACAACCCCCAAAAACACACTCAGTCAAAATGAAGGCCTCCACCATCATCTCCACCATCGTCTCCATGGCCGTCGTCGCCAGCGCCGTGCCTACTGCTGACGTCGCGGTTGAGGCTCGCACCGACAAGACTCTCACCGGTGCCTCCGAGACCTGCTCGTCCAACCAGGTCGTCTCGTGCTGCAACACCTCCGACAAGACGACCTCCACCGGCCTCCTCAGCACCATCATCGGTAGCATCGCCGGCAACAGCTGCGTCGGCGTCGGTGCCAGCGTCTGTAAGTGGCTTCCTGCCCTTCCACTGCTCATTAAATCACTTTCTTTTTGTGACGTGCGTGCAATACGCTGACCGCGAGTGACCTCGCTCAGTGAACCTCCTCGGCGCCAGCCCTGCCAACGGAGTCTGTGGCAACTCCAACAGCGTCAAGTGCTGCTCGGGCGACAAGAACACCGTAAGTCATCTAGAATTCTCCCTTTCCGATCCACTACTCATGCACCTCGCCAGGGCGTGCTCGTCGTCGACCTCGACATCCTCTCTTGCAGCGACATCCTCTAGATGCCTTTCCAGCACCATCACCTCGCTTCTGATCGCTTCAAGGATCGACCTACTCTTTGGCCGTCGGTTCAAAGACACGCGTGCGGCCATGGCAAGATGCTCACACAGCAAGGCTTGGGTGATGTGACAACACGTGGGTGGGACGGGAGATGTTGATGAATCAGTCTTTACTTTCTTCCCCTTTTGCGATGCGCATCGATTCGTTTCCGTCTCTTTCGGGTTCGGTTCCCATTTTCTTGACCAGCGCGAGTAGATCGAATGCCCACTGCATTCCTTCTACGGGAGAGAAATGGCTTCTGGGCTCATCATAGCAAAATTCCTTAAATGCATGGATTCCTAGCAAACTGACTGTGCCGATTCTGCGACAATTATGAGTGAGAGCCTGTGAACATTGCTTGAAAGCTCGGTCTTGTTAACTCTTCCACGATACTTTCTTAAGAGAATAGATAGCAGCCCCATGCAGGTGAGTTTCTTGAGGATGTCCAGACATTCTTTTCTCTTACCTCTCTCCCATAAAAATCCGAACACAGTGAATTGGTAACTTCATATCGTTTTCTCGTTTGAATACTGTACCGTTGCTCTGGCAAGCAGGATCCATGTATGCCATAATCGAATGGGGTATTATTCACTGCTAGGCAGCTAATCTTTTTGTAGCCACCTAGTAGACTCAACCCGGAACCAAGCCCATGCCCTAACGCTTCTATTAACAGCGAATATAACCCTCAAACCAAGTCCATAAAAGCGATATGTCCTGACTTTTGACATGGGAGTGATCAAAGACCTTCTAGTATGCAAGGAATCTACGTAGAACTGGAGAGGTCAAAAGAGAAGCTCAGAAGCATATTTCCTCCTTGGATTGTCGCTCAGACACGGTTGTTTCTCTTTTCACCTACGTGATGTCTAACTTGGGGCTCTTCGACTAGAGTATTCGCTTTTACCGAACGTCTTCAACCAGCTCCCGTAGGTCAGCATCATTTTCAGTAAATGACTTCGTGCGTCAGGATCTCTCAAATGACAAAACCCATAGCCGAGCAAGCGTTGACGGCAGTCATTCGTCTTTTCACACCGGTCGTAGCACACACAGTCAGTCACACAGTCAGTCTTACTTTTGAAGGCTCAAAAAGTCGATGCCACAGACATTAACGTCAGCTCTAACAAACAACCGACCATAAAACACCCTTGAATAGCATCCTCTCGCTTCAACCCCCCATCCCCCATTACGTATTACGTTCCCTAGATCTTCCCCTTCTACCTTCACCATGCAGTGCCGCGTTGCGCACGTAGCTACCCCGATTATTTTGAGCATCCGCTCGCGCACGTACGCACATACGCACGCAACACCGGACCCTTTTCCAACAACAACAACAACAAAATTCGAAACTCGTACGACGGACGACACGTCTGTCTTTTTTTTTTTTTTTTTGCCGCGGTGAGATGAGGTGAGGTGGGACGTCGCGTTGTGCTCACCCACCTACTCCAAACGGCAAGTACATACCTCGGCTCGGCTCTCCTCTTTTCTTTTTCTGTCTCTCTTTCCGCCTGGGGAAAAGAAAAATTTAAAAGGCATCTGAGCCGGCATTGCGAGAACGGAAACGTTCTGCTATGCCATAGAGCGTGTTTGTTCGTGAAAGAAGAAAGATGGCGAGCAAAGTAGACTTGACTATGATCAGTTCCCAAACGAGCTTAGCGCCTCTTCGAAATGCCGATGTCGGCACCGCTTTGCTTGCTCTTCACGTTTTCTTTCTCACAGGCTTGGAGCACAACGCAGTTTCGTCGTCCGAAACAAATATGCTTTTGTTTTGCCATCATGGAGAATCTGTGTAAATTCTTTGAGAAAATATCTTCTGTATCAAATAATACATCTCTCTCCCTTTCCATACACGGAACCTTATCCCAACATCGTGATCCCCGTCATGGTGAGTGGCCAACAAATAAGAAGTATATATAACGCCGGATACCCATCCCATTCCCACGCCGTCTCGTCACTTCTTCATGCAGTTTTAAAACTTAGTACTCCAGCGTAATCTCCTGGCCCTTGACCCGGCCGATGACGACCTCAGGCGCGTACTTGGGAATCACCTCGTCGTCGTGCAGCATCTCGAACTCCTCCGAGGCGTCCTTGCCCATGTGCGAGTACAACGCCTGAGGTCCACCGGGGTGCTCGTCCACCCAGTTGGTCAGGTCCATGACGACGCCCTTGACCGCGATCCAGAGGTCGTCCTTCTTGTTGTGCTTCTTCACCTCATCGAGCGTGAACTCCTTCTCGGGAACCTTGAACGTCTTGATGTCGTTGGGCTTCGACACCTTGCCGGGGTCTGCGCTGTCGGCGCTCCCGCTGAGAACGGGCCCCGCCGACTGCTGCTTCTGCTGAGCAATCTGGTCGTCGCCCGACCCTGATGCACCGCTGCCCCACTCGACTTGCACCTTGCCGGGCTGCGAGGGATCGATGTGCAGTGAGATCTGGCCAAGACGCTGAGCCGCAGACGAGACACTGCCGTTGACCAGGTTCTGGAAAAGCCACTTGCTGGCACTCTCACCAGCCACACGGCCGTAGACGACGCATCCGAGCAGAGACGAGCCGCCAAGACGGTTGGCACCGTGCACACCACCCGCCAGCTCACCGCAGACGAAAAGGCCGTCGAAAGGCTTGCCATCCTGGTTTAGGCACTGGGCGTGTTCGTCGATCTCGATACCACCCATGGTGAAGTGCAGGACCGGCTCCATCAGCGCCACGTGGAACGTGTCGTTGATGTCGAAGGGCAGGTTGTGGAAGAACTTCTTGCCGAAGGGATCCTTCTCCTTGCCCTCGGCAATGCGGTTGTAGTTCTGGAACGTGTCCTGGAGGGCCTTGTCGCCGCAGCCAATCTCCTTGGCCAGCTCCTTGCCAGTCATCTTCTTCATCAGGCCACGACCAGAGTAGTGGCGAGTGTGGAAGTCGAGGACGTTGGAGGCCTTGGAGTTGAGGATCAGACGGATGGGCCACGTGCCCTTCTCCTTCTCCTCCCACATCTTGCCCGACACGTAGTCACGGTGGCCAAGTTCATCCGAGAAACGCTGACCCTTGCCGTTAAGCAGGAGACCGCCCTCACCACGGAGAGCCTCAGCGGCCAAGAACTTCCACTTGGAGCCGGGATCCTTGGGATCGATGAGACCAGTCGGGTGGACCTGGACCTTGTCCATGTCGATGCCGTTGGCGCCAATGGCCATGAGCATCTTGTGACCATCACCAGTGGCGTGGGCGCCGTTGGTGGTGGCCAGGCCGTACGTGTCAGGCCTGTGCTTCTGCAGCAACGACTGCTCTCCCGAGAAGTCGGCGGCGTAGCCACCAGTGGCGAGAATGACCGGGCCGTCAACGGTGACCTCCTCGCCGCCAAACTCGTACGTCACACCGGTTGCCTTGTTGCCGTCCTTGTTGACCTTGGTCACCTTCGCCTTCTTGATGAGCTGGACACGCTCGGGCTCCTTCTCGGAAAGCTCCTCGAATCTCTGCATCAGAGCGTAGGTGATGGCCATGCCGGGGAACTTGGCGTCGTGGCCACGGTGGGTACGGGGCTGGGAGTGACCTCTGGTGCCTGTTAGCCGGCAGTCCCGGAGAGTGCGGCTCTCGCGACGATTACTCACCCTAACCGCGAAACCAGCGTCAGGTCGAGGTTGAAGACATCCTGCAGCCACTCGACGGCGGCGGCCGACTTGTATGTGAGCACCTTGATCAGGTCGGGGCGGGCCTTGTCACGGGCAGACTTGAGCGTGTCGTCGTAGAACTGCTTCACGCTGTCGCGGATCTCGTGGTCGACCTGGGTCCGGGTGAGAGCACCGTTGATTCCGGACGTGGCCTTTGTGGAGTTGCCGCCCATGAAGTCTGGGCTCGGCCGTAAGCATCCACCACCTGCTGAGGCTCACGCCACCGGAGGACCTACTGTTCTTGTCGAGCAGGAGAACATTGCCTCCTGAAAGATAGACGGTGTGAGCGGCACTCAGGCCGGACACTGCGATGGCTGTCAGCGGCGGAAAGCAGGTTGCGTGGGACGGGAGGGCAGCTTACAGCCGGCGCCGACGACGATGACTCTCGGGGCCATGGTGGACTGCACGAAGAGGCTGGGGAGGATGCAGGTGCAGGGCAGAAGGGGATATGGGAGGGAGCAGTATCGCAGGCGCGGGAATGTGGGCGGCGGCAGAGGTTAAGTACGGTGCCGGGTGTGCTGGTCTGGCGACTGCTTGGGATGGCGGCCGCGCCCACCCTCCTCCCCACACATCTTACCTCGGCGACTCGCCCGTGCACTAGTGGAGCTCGGTCGGCTTTGACCCCAGATTTCAGGCCAGGAGCGAATCGCCGCCGTGGCATTGCTAACCCCCGGCGGGCCCCATGAACCGCGCCGCTGTCCGCCGCGCGACACCGCTGTCATGTCCGCCCACGGCTCCCCTGCCCTGCCGCTCCCGCGCATGTGAAGGCGCCGCCCAAGCCTGTCAGGGTCGCCTCGTGATCCGGCTGCCGGCTGCATCCAGTCTGCCAGCTGACGGCGCGGTGCTGACATGTGAAAGCCCTCTATTCGCCGCTTGCGACCGGCCCGCGTGCGAGCCTCATCAGCGCTGCGCCTGCGCCTGCTAGTGCGCACCAGCCCGCATTCCCCAGAATCGTGGAATCGCCCTTCTCCACCGCCACGCGCCTGCGCAGCTCGTTCGCCCAACGCCCGCTGCCCAGAGCGGCGCAAAGGGCAACTCGCTCCGCATTGCGTCCCGCCCGACGCTCTTTCGGGAAAATGGATCCCGAGCCCAGCAGACACCGACGCCTGCCATCGTGAAAGAATTCCGAGCGGAAGCAGACACCGAAGTCTAGCAGGTACATGCACCTTGCACCTTGCGCCCTGCTACCTGCTTTGGGCCCGTCGTTCGTCAGTTGTCAGGCCATGGGTCTGCCGACGATCCCTGGCCGGCCCTGTCTCAGAACCACTGGTGACGTAGGACATGTGGGCCTGAGTGCTTTTTTTGACCGGCGTCGTCCCGTTGAACTTTCCATTGTCGCCGTGAACTCTGATCTTCGAAACCGTCGAATAAGCCCGCTCTCATTGGATCCAACATAGACATCGACCTTGGCGTCTCCTCCCGAGTCCCCTGAACTACTAAAATCTTGGAAACACGGCAGGCACCGCCGTCTACTCGCTTGGATTCGCTAGGGTCCCAAACAAGATCAAAATGCACCATGCAAAATGCCTTAAATGTCTTCACAACACGATCCTTCGCGCCAGTGTGTGCTCAAGATGTTTGTAAGCACCTAGCATCCAGTCCTCTTGATAGACGTCTGCAGCCTCTCGTTAGGAGCCAATTGATTTGAGACACTGCCATGGTTATTCATCTGCATGACCGCATAAATGCCTGCTACTTGGATTCGGCCAGCACTCACCTTGGCATTGCCTCCACTATCGCGGCAGTGTCGAAGGCTGTTAGCCCATCAAAGCCTTCGGTATCCACTGGTCTCTGTCGGATTCTAGAGGACCTTGTACCCTTTAGGACATCGGGCCAAATTTCGATTAGTGTACTGGTAGTCGAAAACCCGGGTTAAGCTAGCACGTTAGTAAATATGTAAAAGTGCTGTCCATTGGAGAGAGTATGTTCCTTCTATACTTAGTTCATAGTGCCATGGGCAAGATCTGCTCAAATCACAATTCAGAAAGAAAAGACGTTGCAAGCAGAAGACATGTAATTGATCGCCGCAGTCACCATGCCGCAAGAACGACACCAAAACCTTGACCCAGTCGCTTAAAGGACAACAATCTCGGAGAGATACAAAACCTCAGCCAAACAAAAATACCGAACTCCTGTCGCCGAAAGGGTGTTCAAAGCCAAGCCCTACCAAGCCTCTTCAATCCCATGGACAATTCCGTTACACCCGCGTAAAGATACAATGACCCCTATGTATTTGAAAGAATAGTGAGACGGGCATCTTCGCGCCCCTTTACTTTGCCCGTGTTCTCAAAGTACGGCCAGCAGCCGCAGCCGGCGCGTTCTCTTTGCCTTTCTTCGCAGCGGCTGTAGATTTGGAACCGGCTGACTTGGTCGTTCCAGTGCTTCGTGCTGTCGTCTTCTTAGTGGCGGGTGCCTTCTTAACAATCGTAGTTCCAGTAGTACCATCGGTTGCCGATCCAGTACTGCTAGCAAGACTGGCCCTGGTAGTCCTCTTCTCGTGGGTAGCAGCCGCCTTCTTGCCACGTCCAGTGCCAGCAGTGGCCTTGCCTTTGCTGGCTGGATTTTCGCTGGGGTTGAAGATGTTACTCTTCAGTGGTGACATCTGCTGGATGGCCCTGGTAGCTATTTTCTCGTCCTGTGCCACCTTCAGGGGCGACAGTGGGTAGGTACGAGAATTGTTAGATTTAGGAGAGAGAACCTGAAGCGGCTGGTCCTGGCGCGAGACAGTGCGCGCACGGGAGTTGGCCGCTGGAGGTCCTTTCTTCTGGTTGCCGGTCGTCTTAGTCCGCTTCTTGGGCATGACAAGCTCCGGCTCTTGCTCATGATCTTGGTCGGCGTTCTCTTGATCCCTCTCCTCGCTGGCGAATATATCAGCATGCATTCCCGTCAGAATTGCAAGCAAGCTGCTCACCTGGTACGTTTGATTCCACGCCTAGGCACAGGGCTCAGTTGCTCAGCAGACTCGGATGGCTTCAACATTGGCCTTGCAATAGTTGATGTAGGCGGCTCAGCGCCGGGTTGCTCTGAGTACTTCTCGATCAGGTCTAGGATGTTGGTCTTTCTCAACGCAGTAGGAATGCGATTCACGCGCATCTCAAGACGCGACCGCAGACCTTGAGCGAGAAGCCCATACTGTGACCGCAGCTTGCGAGCTCTCTCGGTGACTGTTGCAGTTGTCAGACAAGCTCATTCCCATCTGATGACGAATCCATACTCTCGAGTTGCAAGTTGTCCATCAGCACTTGTTTCTGCTGCTCGGTGATGTTTACTGTTCTCTTCGACGGCGAGGTCCTGTCTGGAGTCGTGGCGGAAGGCTCAGCTGCCGCTGGTGTCGTGTTTGCAGGCGGCGCCGGAAAGCTAGCGACAACATCGGAATCTATCGACGTGTTTGAACGCGAGGCAGGCTGTTTCTTGGCGCGTTGCGGCGGCATGGTGGATGAATGCGTCGGCGAAGGACGGAACGGCAGACAAAATGGCTCGTGTCTGCTCGAGACGGTATCAACGGGATGCAGCATGTGGTTGTCACGTCTGTAAACAACGGACGGGGCAGGCGCGCGTGCACGCGGAGCGGGAGCCGCCAAAGCTTGGCGTCGGGAACAATGTCCTGCCACCGCCGACGAGCTGGGCGACAGCTCCGTCCCGTCGACATCACCGAGCTCGCTCGTCACCATCTCCGCTCAACCCTTCACGTCCTCCTGCGCCGCATCCGTCCCCCGCCACAATCATCGGATATCCCCGACTTTCTCGAGCCGTCCCCAGAGACTTCCGTGCACAGCAGCCAAGATGGTGTTGGAGGCGTCTATGATAGTGTACGCGGAGCTACCTTGGCCAGCTGGAAGCTTCGGCTTACTGACGTTCGGACAGGGTGGACAACAGTGAGAGCAGCAGGAATGGCGACTATGTGTAAGGAGCTCACCGCGATACTTGACCATCAACAACTCATGCTTATGCGTGTGCAGCCCGTCGCGATTCGAAGCGCAAGAGGACGCCGTCAACCTCATCTTCTCGGCCAAGATCCAGTCGAACCCAGAGTCGTCAGTCGGTCTCATGAGCATGGGCGGCAACGGCCCCGAAGTTCTCACTACCTTGACTACGGATATGGGCAAGATTCTGGACGGCCTGCACCGCACCAAGATAAGAGGATCGCCGCATTTCTCGACTGGCATCAACATCGCGGCGGTACGTTCGCCGGCAAGCATGTGAGCGGTGCGTTATGATCGCTAACGACATCTCGGGTTATAGCTAGCACTCAAGCACCGCCAGAACAAGTCCCAGCGGCAACGCATCATCGTCTTCACCTGCAGCGCTCTCCCTGAGGACGAAAAGTCGCTCGTCAAGCTTGCCAAGCGCATGAAGAAGAACAACATCAATGTCGATATCATCGCCTTTGGCGATCTTGCTCCGGAGAACGTCAAGAAGCTTGAGGCCTTCAACGAGAACGTCAAGGGTGGCGACGGCTCACATCTCGCCATCATCCCACCGAGTGCCAACCTGCTTAGCGACGCCATTGTCACGACACCCATAATAGGCGGGGAGGCCGCGCCTGCCGGTGGTGCTGGCGGTGCTGGTGCTCAGGGCGGCGAAGGTGGCGGTCAGGAATGGGAGTTTGGCGTCGACCCTAGTATGGATCCGGAGCTGGCGCTTGCGCTGAGGATGTCGTACGAAGAGGAGAAGGCCAGACAGGAGCGCGAGCGGAAGGCTCAGGAGGCTAAGGAGGGCAAGTCGGAGCTCGAGGGCATTGCGGAGGAGGGTGGAGACGAGAACAAGCCCCTTCTGGACAAGAGCGGCGAGCCGAGCGGCTCTGGAAGCGGTAGCAAGGACCAGAGTGACAAGAAGGACAAGGACGATGGTGATAGGATGGACACGGCATAAGTTAGAGGTATCACAAGCTAACAAAGCTTGCGGACGCTGATATTAGCACGTAATGCGAGATGGTGTGTGGGAATCGCTAACTGCATAGCAAGAACCGTTGTTTCCAAGAATGCGGGAATACACTAGATTCTACAATTCCAGTGCACGTTATGAACCTTGTCGGAGCCAGTTGCTTTGAGTGCAATAGGTCACACATGTGGTCAGAAGTCGTGTTCCTGTGCCACGGCACCTCGAAATCCTCGCAAGTGAACACCAACTACCAGATTATGATATACAACGTGCCGGGGAAAGATTGGCTATCACTGTAGCAGGAGCTGTTCTTTGCAGGATATGCGGACGCCGAGCTACCAAGTTGAGCCAGCGTTAGCACTTAGATCGTTTATGACGCGCAAGGCGGCGTTGAAATAGCATCAACCGATAATCTTACTACAATGTTTATCGATACGGGCGCAAAGATACTGTTGAAACAGCTTTCTGACTTCTGTGCTTTTAGTAAATATCAACAAGACGGTAATCACATGCCACATGTTTTTGTTTCGTATCTGGCATAGATATGCTACTTCACTTCCTCCACTGGGTATCTATTCAGCCTAATTTCCTGTATAATTGCGGTCTATGCTACCATGGTGTTCGTCAAACATCCAACGCCCGAAGAATAACGATGCCCAAGTCGTCCCACGGCTCAAACAAACCCAAGTAGACCCTCCTCCGGACCCTGGCGACCTCGGTCACATCTTGCACATTACGCATCACCCTTGATGAAATCCAGTACCGCAACTCAAGCCCGACTCCTTACAAAGGCATCCAATCCGCGGTCGAACTTCTCGCACCGGATCGGCATCTCCACAGTGTAGAAGGGGTTCTTGGTGACGAAGTCGGCGTACAGCTCATATATCTTTCTAATGATGGAATCGATATTTGGCTGGCCGGGTTCGGTGAAAAGCAGGAACTTGGTGCCGGTGAGGGTTTGATAGCACTGCAGGCGGAACTTGGCGGTCTCGAGAACCTCCAGCCCAGAGGGTTGGGGGCGCAGCGAAGGTGCCGTGTTGGAGCTTGCTGGTAGGGAAGCGGGAAGTACGGCGGCGGGCGTAAGGGAGCGGGTTATGGCGTGGACCCTGCGACACAGCGGCGAAAGCTTAGCAGGAGCCGTATCGCGAAGCAGCTAGGAAGGGCGCGCACCCATGGAATGTGCCAGCAAGCATGAGCATGTCATTGCTGCGGAGCGGGTTGAGGCCCTGGTGGAACTCGCGGGTAAAGACCAGACCGCCGGCCTTGTTGATAATGAGGAGCGCGAAGACAACCCTGGCACGGAGGTTAGCTGACAGGGCGGAGATGACGCGGGGAGCTCGGAGAAGGGCGTACATGGCGGCGGCTGCACGAGAGCTGCGGATGGCGGCGAGAGGGGCAGAGAAGGCTACGTAGGCGGCGGTCGCATATCCCGTTGGGCGCCCTGGAATCTGCGCGCGCGGTTCAGGGCTCTCTAGGGCTGTGGTAGAGGTGTTCCTGATGAGCTGGGGTCGTTTCGCTGGCTGGCGATCTGCAACGCTAAGGCCGGGCACCGCCCGCCATCGCCGCCCGCCGCCGCCCTGTGGTTTGCCCTCACAAACCACTCCTCACCACTTTGCAGTTCTGCCCACCGAAGCCCAGCACACAAGCGCAGCGCTGCCAAGTCTCATGCTCTAAGCTTCTGCCCAGCCCCCGACCGCCAGGAAGCACTCAGCACTTCCTCACCTTCGGCTGCCCCACGCTCTACGCCGCCCGCCATGTCCAACCAGTCGATCCTCCGCATCACGCGTGTACGCTTGCTTCCCGCTGCCCCGCCTGAGCTCCGCCCGCTGACCAGACCGTAGGAGCTGTGCGATATCCAGAAGGGCTCGGATCTCTGTTCGTCCTGCCACTTGTGTCCTTTGCCCGTTTGCTGCTGACTGAAGTCGCTGGCACAAAGCTCTCGCCGTCGCCTGTCGGGACAGCGACGTCAGATCGGTTCGAGCCTTGATCATTGGCCCTCCAGACACCCCATATGAGTTCGGATTCTTCGAGGTGCGCCTGGCCTACCTTCCAAGTGGCTCCGTTTCTAACATACCACCCATATTCAACAGTTTGCTGTGCGCTTCGGTAGAGGTATGCAAGCTCCCGCGGTCCCAAACAACGCGACTCAACCCGCTGACGTGACGCAAGACTACCCTACTAAGGCCCCTTCGGTCACCTGCACCACCACCAACGGAGGTCGCACCCGCTTCAACCCGAACATCTACTCTCAGGGAAAGGTCTGCCTGTAAGTCGGCTTCAGTCGTGTTTGATCGTATCGCATGACGTTTTACTGACCTTCCCCAGTTCCATTCTAGGGTATGAGTGAATCCAGGAGCACCTATGGCCTGGGTCCCGTGCTGACGTTATTTTAGTACATGGCGTGGTGAGCCTGGCGAGGAATGGTCCTCGGCCCAGGGCCTGGAGTCCATCCTTATCTCCATTCAGAGCCTCATGTCCCCCGACCCTTACGAGAACGAGCCTGGATTCGAGGAAGCCAACTCCGACTACGACAAGAAGCTGAAGGCGGCCTATACTGCCAAGGTGCGCTTGGGATGGCTCGCTGCAACGTGAGAAGTTGAGCTGAAGTTGTGTTAGATTCACCACGAGACCATCCGCATTTCGGTCATCGAACGCCTGGAAGAGTACTACAGGATTGTCCCACCGGAGAAGAAAGGAATCGTGCGGTACAATGCCGAGGACGATATCACAACAGCCGAGGAACAGTTCGACCCCTTTCAGGATCTCTGCAAGCGCCGCTTCCTCTGGTACTACGACTCCTACTTAGAGTCCATCAACGAACTCAAGGATCACCACAAAGAGGGTTCCAAGTTCGAAAAGATGCCCTTTGAGGGACCGAGCAATGAGATGAGCGGAACGTTCAACTACGAGCAGCTCTTGAAGCGCTTGGCAGTCATTCGCGCGGCTGTGGACAAGGAGACTCTCGGTTGGGCACAGGAAGGCCTTCAGGCTGCCAAGGGCGAACTGAGCATTGCCAACAACCTACAAAGGCAATTTGAGCAAGTGGTCGAACACTTCAAGCGCAGTGAAAGCGTCCACATCGATCTGGAACTCGTCGACAACAACCCTTTCGTATGGTCCTTCGTCTTGTTCGGCCCACCCATGTCGAACCTTGACGGAGGCATGTTCCGGATCTTCATCTACATTTCCACCAGGTTCCCCGACGTGCAACCTCGTGTCAAACTGGAGAATCCCATCTTCCACCATCGCGTGTCTAAGGATGGTGTGGTTTGCTACACGTCGCGCCGCCCGGATGATCTGCGGAGCCACATCGAAGCCATCGTTGACACCATCCAGGAAGAGCATCCGGCATACGACCCGCGGACACTCGTACACCCCGAGGCCTCGAGGCTCTTCTGGGGTAGCGCTGATGACAAGAAGCAGTACAACCGTAAGCTGAGGCGGAGTGTGCAAGACAGTGCTGAGTGAGTGTTTTTACCGAGCTTTTTTTTTTCGAAGCGTCAATTCCGCTACGATATCGGCGGATGGGCAGTTGATCCATTATTTGCAGGTTTTTATGAGCTGCCTGACAGCAGTCATCGCGCCGCAATCATCAATAGCGGGCCCTGAGCGCTGCGAGACAGCGGCAAACTCAACAGTCATGAACCAAATTCACGACATTACGTTCGAGGGTTAATAGCGAAAGCCCAACACGAACACTCCCTCCTTCATTATGTCTAGAAACGGCCGAAACCTCGATATCCTCTTCTACGTCACATGGGAAAAAATTGTCACGACCGGGCTTTCTCTCTTGCATTTTTAGCCGGAGTTTGTCATCTTTGCTACGGAAAATGGGGGAACAGGTCTGCAACGGCGAAAAAGGATATCAGTATGGCGAGCGGGTTCCTCGCCTGGAAAGGGGACGTTCGCTGACGCGGGCTATTTTCAGTTTCCGTCTCCGTGGCGATCAATGCACGGCACAAAGGCGCGATTAGGGATTGGGAAGCTGGCTCAAGGGTACTCGATGCTTTGCTTGCATGCTTGCTGGTTAGCTAGCATGTTTGGCGTTCTGTTTTCTTTTATCTATTATCTCTCCCCAGCCTTCGCAAATGGGGTGAGGGTGGAAAGAGTACTTTTATTGCTGGGAGGGAAACGGAAAACGGGGATTTTATACACACATTGCAGCAGAAAGGGACGGGGAAAGTGAGGAACCAGCTCTGCGAGGAGCTCATATCGCCCACCAACCCTCCTTTTCTTTCCTCCGCTCCCTCCCTTTGCTCGATCTCGGATTCATACGAGGGCTTTAGCAGAAAATCTCATAACGTCCCTTTCTCTCTTTCAGTTTTGGTGTGTTGTGCGAAAACAACCTAACGATCCTCGCCCAACTAAAATGCTGGTTGGTCGGGAGCGTTTGATGATGGGAAGATTCGGACACGGGGGTCTCCAAATTCTTACCAGATTTTGCACTAAATCGATGGAATAGATAAATGAACCCACCTGCATTGTCCCTGTGTAGGCAGTGGAATCCCAGGCCCAGACGGGGTTGGGTAACCTCAACGCTCGCATCTACGCCAGGATATCTGCTTCGGCTGCTGATGAAGCAAGGTTAGTTGAACCCTGCATCTACTACGTCCGGTTGTATGCTTGGCCGCCATGAATGTCAAATTTATGGCCACCTAACAAAGTGCGTACGTGCTGCCCGAGTGGGAAAATCCTGAGCGAAAACATGGCCCATGGATGTGAAAATTGGTTATTTTTTTCCCCCTCTCCTTGGTTCGAAGTTACATGATTCTGATTGAAGTTCGTATGGTTTTACAAGAGACAAGAAAATCCCTCCTTTCTCCCCTCTTTCCGCCTCTCCTTCTCTTACTTTTTCCCCTGCTTGCTCCGTGGAGGATGATAATGATGATGACGGAATACAGAAAGAGACAATCTGCTGCTTCTCCTCAAGTTCTCCACCGTGAAGAATGAAGATCTCCAGCGCTTAATTTGCATCGCTGTACTTGTACGACTACCTATGCCTTCTGAGCCTTCTCCTGCCGCTTTCCAGTGGGGCCACCCTGTACATTCATGATGGCGTGCAGCCTACCGAGGAACCTGTCCGCGTCACCGCCGACGTAACTGGCGTTGAGGTCGAGCATGCGGGTAGCGACGTTGTAGTTGGCGTCGATAGGCTTGTCGTTGTTGGCGGTCCTGGTGTGGGCGGTAGCGGGGGGTTCGACGGCGCGGGCGCGAACGGTGTAGGCGCCGGCGACGAGGGCGTCGGTGGTGGCCTTCCTGGCGGCGGGGTCGAGCTCGGCGAACTCGATGGCTTTGGGCGCGATTTCCTCGCCCTTCTTGTCCGAGAGCTTGCGCGCGATGCGGGCCTGCTCGTCGGCGACGAGGGCCATGACGGCCTCGCGCTCGGTGTCGGACGCGAACTTGACGAACTGGCCGCGCACCAGGCGGCGGGCCTGCGCGAGGATGGGGACGGGGTCGTCGAGCAGGGCGCGGTCGGCAAGGGAGCGGAGGCGGGCGTCGAGCAGGGCGGGGGCGCCGCCGGGCTGGCCGAGGGAGGCGGACAGCGCAGACTGCGAGGTGAGCTCCGCCTTGGTGGTGTCGTGCGGCGTGTACGACTTGACCGCGCGCCGTTTGGCCTTCAGCTGGAGCAGATACTGCAGCATCGGCTTCGACAGTTGGACGTTTTTCCCGCTGCCGTCGTCATCCTTCTTCGGCCCGTTGCGGCTCCTCCGCTTGCCCCCGGCGCCGCCTTGCCGTGGCCCGCCGCGGCCGGGAGGTCCTTTGTTCCCGAATCTACCTGGCGTACGAGGTCCTCCTCCTGGCGCTGATCCTGCTCTTGGGTATGAGCGGTATGGGCCACCGCCCGGACCGCCGCCTACGCGGGTTTGTACGCGGGGCTGAGTACGCGGTGTTTGGAAGCGTCCGGCCGGGGAAGAGTCCCCATTGCGGACAGGGGTGATGATACGGCGGGGCGGGGCGTTCTGGCTGGATGAGTAGCCACCGGTGCGCGGGAGGCTCTGGATGGATGCGCCGGCGGCCTGGGAGCGAGCGCGGGCGGAGTTTCCGCTGGCTGTGTCGGAGATGATTAGATGGGCCGAGAAAGCAGAAGGGGTTGTTGAAGACGAAAGGAGAGCCATTGGGTATGTGGGAGCGAGTTTGGGGATGTACCGGGCCCACCGCTGCTGCCGGAAGACTCGTCGTCGCGGCGAGCGGAGATGTGGAAGGAGCGCACGGCGTGCTGGAGAGCAGCCACATGGCGGGAGGGCGGCCGGGACAGGGCGGGGGCCACGCCCCGGCAAGGCCGTAAATGCATGGCGGGCGGGGAGTGGGAGTGGAGGCGGGTATCGCGGAGGGTGGAGGTTTGGTGGTGGTTCGTGAGGTTTGGGACTTTCGCTGCCGGGGCCTTCGCTTGGCGCGGGCGGGAGCCTTGGGGCGCCGCAGCGCGACGCCGCCCCCGCCCACGACATCAACTTACAACAGCACGCTTGTTGTGACTTGAATGCCACTTCGCAAGCGCAGTCGCACCGCAAGACAGGGTCGGGACTTCTTTGGTCGCCGTGATCAGACCGGATCTATCATCACCATACCGGTGGACCAGAACATCCACCATCAACGGCCCGGGTAGTCTCATCGCCCGCCACATCCTCCAGAAAATGCTCCGCCGCCCTGCCACCGTTATTACTCTCACTCCGGAAGACATCGTTGCGTATGAGTCAAACCGTCAGCAGCGCAATTGGCAGCAACAGAAGCAGCAAGGCCACAACGACTCCTACATGACCGAGCCGGCCTTCTCGCAGTCCCAGGACACGGGAGAGCGGAACAACAGCCAAGAGAGGCAGCGGGCAACCAGGACGCGCGAGGACAGGATCCTGGGTAACAGAGGCTAGCCGAGGCATGAGACGACGCGCAACCGAGCGCATGCGGTCCATGATTTGCAATGCTTTCCCGGGAGACGACTGCTCACACCATGGCTGGAGAGCATGCGGCGATCATACGGAAGAGTCCGTGTAGGCAATCAATCTTTTTTTGGGTCACCACGACTTCTGCAGGCCAACGGTGGCTAGCCAGAGACTCGGTCCCCGTGATCTCTATTGACGGCTTCTTCCACAGGCCTGCTCAACGAGCTGGTTTCAACAGCATTCCGCGGCGGCTCGAGGGGCGCAGCACCCGTAATCGAGGCACATTCCTCGGTTTGCGGCGGCGAGGGGCAACACCAAGCACGACCAGGCGCCACGTGGGCACAATCATGGCTTTCTTCGTCCCGCACGCCGTCATCGCCTCCCAAAGAGACCGTGTCGTCAGGCCGCTAGAGCTCTGTAGCTTCGACAGTGCGATGGCCCTTCGCCTGTCTTCGTAGTCGTCGACGCAACCAGTCCTGCACCCAGCCAACCCACTTTTAATTGAAACGAAAAACCTACCTTCCATTCCAATCCCGTGAGCCTATCATCGTCTGTCCCGCTTCCTCTTTGGGCCCAGCGTCAAACCCGCTAGGAAGCAAGGAGTAAGGCCACTCCCCCCGTATAATACCAGGTCTACCTCTTTCCACCTTCCAGCACTGCCCGTGCCCGATGCTAAGAATGTGCCGTTTGCGAGAACCAGCCACAGCCGGAATGCTCGATTGCTCGTCCGACGACGCGGCATCGCCAAACCATCTATAGAGCGGCCGCGCTGCCATGGGAGCCTCAGCATGCTTCCTCCAAGCAGCTCCTTCACCATCATGCTTATGTCACTGCCACGCGGTCCACTATGGGCATTACCACTCGCTTTGTCGCTCTTTGCCGGGAAGGCGGCTGCCCAAACATACAGTCTGGTTGACAATTACTCGCCAGATAACTGGTTTGACCAGTTCACCTTCTTCACCGTATGGCACTACCTGCAAGGTTTTATTACTCCGGGTCGCCATCGACTGACATAGCACGACAGGACGGCGATCCCACAAATGGGCACGTCCAATACGTCAATCAAACATGGGCATCGCAGAACGGGCTTATCCGCAGCAATGGCAGCGTCTACATGGGGGTCGACCACATGAACGTCTACAGTGAGACGGGGCCGGGTAGGCCAAGTGTCCGTGTGGAGAGCAAGAAGGTGTACAATCGCGGCCTGTTCATCCTTGACTTGAACCACATGCCCGTTGGCTGCGGCACATGGCCCGCTTGGTGGACTCTTGGGAAATCGGCCGAGTGGCCAGCGGGTGGAGAGATTGGTATTCTTGCTTGCAACCCGCATGGTTCTGTATGATTCAAGGGGCTGACAGCACTCGCGTCCAGACATTATCGAGGGGGTCAACAACAACCTGAACAACACGAACAAAATCTACACGAGCACTGGCTGCTCCATCACCGGCCTAGGTCAGACGGCAGTTGCGGATTCGTTCAACTGCGCTGATGGCTGCGGTTCTGCCAGCACCAGAACGGACAGCTACGGGAATGGCTTCAACAAGGCAGACGGAGGCGTGCGTTTCTCTTTTTCCGGATCCATTCCGGGAAACACTGACGACGTAACAGGTCTACGCTATGGAATGGACTTCGCAATGGATTCGCGTTTGGTTTTTCTCGCGCTCCAGCGTCCCTGGCAGCATCGGCAAGGGTTCTCCGGACATTTCTGAATTTGGAACTCCGACGGCCAACTTCCAAGGTGGTTGCGATATCGACCAACACTTCAAGGACCACACCATCATCTTCGACATTACCTTTTGCGGTGACTGGGCTGGTCCCACGTTCGGCAGGTACGCGGGCTGTCCCATGACGGACAGCAACGCCTGGACAAGCTGCAACAACTTCGTTGCAAGCAGCCCCCAGAGCTTCGCGGATGCATACTGGGACATCAACTCCATGAAAGTCTTCCAAAGGGGAAGCGGAGCGGCTCCAGGCGACCATTCATCAGTCTCCATCTCCGACGCTGTCCGCCTGAGCTCCAGCATGGGTGTACCGCTGGGCAAGAGTCAAGCTGCACCGAGCTCTGTGAAATCTTCTTTGGCTATCAGTGAGTTAACCGCAGCCTCCACTTACTGCTTGGGGATTAGGACTTACAATTGCGCACAGATTTTGCCGAGGGTGCTGCTCAGAAACAGTCCTTGGCTACGCCCACCTCTCCCGGCGCCTTCTTCGCGAGTGTCGCAGCTATTTCCACGCCTCAGCGCCAAAGGCCTGGCCCATCGTCGCTCTCGTCTCGCCCCTCGCCCAACAACGGCGGCGGCGGCGGCGGTCGTGGCTCGGGCCCCTCCAACGCAGCCTTCAGGACCGCCTCTTCCCAACCATCCTGCAGCCCCCTCGGCGGCTACAGTGGCTCGGGACAGATGGGTTATCGCCACGGCATCGGTGCAAGCGACGGCGGGCTGGCCATGTGCCAGGAGAATTGTGCCGAGTCGGCCCAGTGCACCGCCGTACTGTACGCGCACTACAAGAGCGACAGTGGCTCTCCACTAGGCTACTGGGACTGCTGGTGGGGCACGCTGGACGTGGGAAGCGTGCTCTGCGGCAGCGGCGGGAGCACAAGCGGCGGCAGCAGCCGTAACGGAAAGGCACAACACCGCCGTGCTCACTTGAAGCGCCAGACACTAGCAAAGAGGCAGGGAATTGACATGTCACCTAACCCGAACATCGGCGTCCGAGAGCAGGATTTCCAGGTCTTCATGAGCAGAGGCGGAGGAGGTGTGGCCGATGTCTCCTCGTCCTCGGCCGGACTTCCGATGAGCGGCTCCTCTTCACCCGCGTTCGTTTTTCCCGATTCCTCCTCATTGCCAAACAGCCCCTCATCCACGCCATCCCGATTTCCTTTTGTCCCGGACTTTATGCCCGACGGCGCGCAGTCCTCTGTCGTCACGCCTACCAATATTGCCACCGACGACGCCACTACCGCTACGCCCTCTATGCCACCGTTCGACCGGCCCTTTTCCCCAACCACGTCGTCAAACAGCCGACTCCGCGCCGGCCCGCGCCCGGCCTTGACCGACCACTCTGACGCTTTCTTCTCGTCCTACTTCTCGTCTCTCAGCTTCTCGCTTAGCGAGAGCATCAGCTCGAGCCTAAGCTCCCAGCTGTACAGTTCATCCCAGGCTGGTGATTATTCCTCCACCTCCTCCACTATCCCTCAGTCCGCGCACTCATTGGCAAGAGCCGTGGTAACCAACTTGCTTGTGCCAGTGCCCCTCACGCCCAACAGTATCTCCAATGGCTTCACGCCGTCCACATCGCCGCCGTCCAACCCGACCTTTTCTTCATCGTCCGACCAACCATCTCTGGCATTCCCTCAGCCGTCTTTATCGGAGATCCACATCCCGGAGTCGCGACTCTTCAGGCCGTCCCCATCCTCCTCATCCAGATCGCCACCCTCTTCCCTCCGTAACCCGGTCTCACCTTCCCCGAGCAACAACAACAACGGGCCACCTTTCCGTAGCACCGCCACCGGCCGCCCCAGCCGTTCCGGCCCCAATCCATTCGCCGCCCCGTCCTCCGGCGGCAGGGGCCCGCCATCCCAGCCAGCAGCACAACCCATCCGCAGCCGCAGCGACAGCGCCGGCACCAGCGCCACCGACGCAGCAGTGCCAGGTCCGTTCGGTCCGTTCAACAACGGGCCGGGAGCAGCACCACCACAATCACAATCACCACCTGCCCGCAGCAGCCGCGACCGCAGCCGCAGCAGCACCGACGCCACTCCCGCCCCCGGCGGTCCACCATTCGCCGCCGCCGCCTCCGCGTCGTCCGGCAGCAGGGGCCGCCCGCCATCCCGCCAGCCAGCAGCACAGCCGGACCGCAGCGGCAGCGGTGGTGGTGGTGGTCCCTTCCCTTCCGGCCCCTTTGCCCGGCCGTCAGGCGGCCCCGGCCCGTTCGTCGCCCCGTCTGCGTCTCCGTCTTCGGGCAGCGGTGGTGGTGGTGGCAGCGGCAGGGGGTCAGCGGCGGCACCGCCGTTCGCTCCGTCCGGCAGAGGCGGAGGATCGACGACAACGGCAGCCGGACCGCCCGGCGGCGCCAACAATCAGCCGGCGAGGACGGTGACGGTGACGGTCACGATGACGAGGCATGTGGGTTCGGATGGGAGGGTGCGCGACGAATGATCTGGTCTGGTGTGCCGGAGGCGACGAGGGGGGCGGGCGGCCTAGCTGGCTGTCGAGGGGAGAGAGGTTTTTTTTTTCTGGGAGAAAAGTTGGGGGATGTGGAGCGGTGGCCACGCTAAGGGGGAGATGGGGGGGGAACTGTCTTTCGTCGGGGTTGGTTGGATTGGAGAGTGAGGGGTGTGGATGCGAGGAGGCATGGTATGTGGTGGGTAGCTGGAGTCTTTTTTGACTTCTGTTCCTCCATTCACTTTTTTTTTTCTTTTCTTTCGCATTCTTCTTTCGTTTCTCGTGGGGTGCCCTTCTCCCCCTTTTTCCTTTGTCTTGGGGCATTGGGACGGAGAAGGGAAGGTAATAACGGTATCGCCAATCGCATATAGGTTTGTATGGAAAATTGGTGGAGAGGGGGTTGGGGAGGGGGGACTGGAGGAACAATAACGGGGCAGCAACGAGCCTTTTAGAAGGACTCTCTGGGAACCCCCGGGGGGCGGGGGAGGACGGGTACATTGTCCCTTTTTTTTGTGCATGGTTTGCATGGTTCTTCGGTCTGGAACACACAAAAGTAGATCAGTTGCGATCCCCACCTACCTAGAATACAGCTATGAAGACAGATGCGCTTAGCCATTTAGCTTTGCTTCCAAATGGGCGCTAGGTGTGATCGTAGGACCACAGTGGCATGACGCCTGACTACTTGGCAGAGAAAGAGTCTTACGGCCCTCTCAGGAGGAGCGCGCTCTACGAAATCGTCCGAAGCTCCTCGTCGAAGGGTGAGTATCCTGGAGTGGAGGAAGGCATGTGTACATAACCAACAACACTGCCCCGTCCTGCGTAGAGCACTTCATTCTCTATACGAGATTTAGTGCTCTCTCATATCCCTACGACATCAATGTTTGAAACTGAATCTACTGCCAACGTTCAGTCAATGGTGAAGCTCATCAGCACGACCGATCGGTGGTGATTAAGTGGAAACTTTAACACGTGACAGCCCAAGCACAGTGATTGTGGAGATAATTGCCGATGTCACTCTCATGGGAGAAGGAACCCTCACGAGCAGCATACATACGGAGATAGAGGGAGGTCCCTGCAGTAAATTATATGTAGGGGATGCGAAAACACCCCTGCGCCTGATGCGCTGTGCAGGATATTGTTCTGGGGTGCCGGGGGCACATGTGCGTGATTTTACGGATGGCTGGCGCGAAGAGTATAAATTTTCCTACGAGACACTGTCAAAGCATCTGGGCGGCCTCTCGTCTTCATTTATATGAGCTAGCCGGGTACTTTTTACTTCTCGCGTGCTCTTGTGGGTCTCTTTGTTGGTTTCTCCAAGAAAAATGTCCATCTTGACTTCATCGACTATCTGATGACGATGATACTCATCAGTTATGATCTTCGAGAAGCTATACGATATGTTGTTGATGCGGATCCTCACCAATTTCCATTCTGCGAGAACTGACAAAGTCAGCTACTCTGTGACCACTTCGGGGGCTTACGACTGCATTTTGTTTGATCTTGGAATTCCACAGACGTTTGGCCATGTCCAATGTCTGCATCGATCGAAGGATGAGTTGTTTCTTTGGAGGGGCGGTCACGTCCAGCTATCCCGCATGTAAACATCATTCATTATAGCCTGCTCTCTGGCCAGATGCCAATCGATGTGCAAGTCACTCTGAACCCCCCCCAAAAAAATATCAAGATGGGATATGGCACAAAAAGCAAAATCCCGCGGCGTTCAAAAAAGCCGCATCCCAGTGGTATCACGTCTTCCCTCCCTCCCATCCAGAAACAAAAAGGGAAAAAACCCCCGCCAGCAGAACCCTCCCACCTTTCCTCCTCGTCCAAACCCTCCAACCGTACGTACTCCTTCCTTCCTTCCTCTCCCCCTCTCAGCCGCCATTCGCCCGTCCGTCCATCCGTCCTCCATCACTCACTCACACCTTCTTCTCCCCCTTATCCTTATGAAACAACGACTTGACTTTCTCCCCCAACCCCCCACCCTCCTGCCTGCCCTCCCCTCCCGACCCGGACCCCGGCTGCGGCGAGCTATGGCCGCCATACTTCTCGCGATGCACGTTGCCCTCGCCGCCCCTCCCGGTGTGAAAGTTCTCGTACCCCGCGCCGGGCTGGCGCAGCGCCGTCTCCGGGATGACGTCTGATCCGCCTCCGCCGGCCTGCTGCTGCTGCTGCAGCGCGGCGCGGGTGGCGGGCGAGGCGGTGCCGGTTTGCGACGTGGCGCTGGCGCCGGCGTTGTTGGCGTTGTTGGGTTGCGGCGACAGGCGCGGCGAGCCGATGTTGCCGGCGCCGCCGCGGCCGGTGCTGTAGTCCTTGCCCGGCCGCTCGGGCTCGCCTTGGATCCCTTCGCGGACGATTTCGCCGTCCGTGTAGACGGTGGGGTCGCGGCCGATGTTGCCGGCGCCTGGGAGGGAGGGGGGGCGGGGTTAGTTGGTGGTGACGACGATGGCGACGACGACGACGACGATGATGATGATGTTGATTGTGATGGGGTGAGTGGGCGAGTGGGCGAGTGGGGGGAAAGGAAGGGAATGCGCTTACCTCCGCGACCGGTGGAGACGATTGGATCGGTGGGAGACATTGTTTGTTTTTTTTGCTTTGGCTGTGGGGTTGCGGTTTTGCGTTGGACGGTTTGATTGCGGGGCAGGTGAGGTTGAAGAAAAGAGGGGCGCTGCAGAGGTAAATAATGTTTGGGCTCGGCGGCGCAGTGAGTCACGACGCGACGTGATTCGATGGCTTGTGACGTGCAAGAAACCTCAACAGGCAGGAGGGCGCCAGAAAGCAGGCCGCAGCCGGGCTTGAAATACTACAACACACAAACCTACAATAATGACGCAACCGGCTGGCGAGACGTGGGATGCCTCGAGCCAGGTTCACCCGTCACGATCCAACGAGCGAGGCCGGGCCGGTGGTCGGGCAGGAGTGAGGTTTGCATGTGCCGGAGCAGGGCATTTGTCGTATGTGTGAGGTGATCGCGGTTGCAAGAAGATAAGGTCTCGGGTGATGTCATCTCATTCGCCCCGCGCCCGCCCCGAGCACGTGCCACTCCCTTTCCGCTCCTCTCCCCACGCGCCGCCGGCCCCGCGCCCGCCCTTGCCAAGACCATTGCCAAATCCCATTACGGAGCTTTCTCCCTCCAGCCTCGACGTCATCCTTTTGCGTCTCGATCTTTATTACCTGCGATAACGCTCTTGTCCAGTTGGACGCTTCAACCACTCTGATTATTTTTTCATGGCACTCGCACACCTTGCAACGAAAGCAGTACCAAACGAATGTGGGTAGCATTAAATGCTCGCTATCTGCCCATCTGGAACGCTTATAGTGACAAGAGCCTGGGATATCGTCTCCGCAATCCGCCATGAACCCCGGTCTACTCCACTGCGCCAGGAAAGAAAAGAATAAACCATCAGCATGATTAGTGGGAAGACAAAAGAGTAAAACCCCACGTCGCTAGCCGCCATCGATCTTGTAAAACCTCGTAGGAAGAAAGGGGGAGACACGAGAGAGTGTAATCCCTCTTTGTCGAAGACCCGTCCTGCAACGACATCATCCTATATGGCCCACTTGCTCTCAGCGCCACCGGCATCGCCATCAACGGCACCCCAAGAAGCACCGCCGGTGTTATCGGCAGGCCACGATTCCCAACCGCCGCCGTTGTCAGCGCCGTTGGTAGCACCAGCGTCACCGCCAGACCAGTTGTTGTTGTTGTTGTTGCCTCCACCACCGTTCTTCTTGCCTCCGCTGGCGACGCTCTTGCCACCCTTGTTCTTGGAGCCCTTCGGGATGCCGCGAAGGATCTCGCCAATTATTGGCCCAGGTTCCGGCTCGCCGTTGACCATGGTGACGTTATCCTTCCACTTCATAAGATCATGGGAGCTGTCCTTGCAGCGCTTCTTCTTCTCCACGCAGGGGCAGCAGATGTCGTAGGTGTCGTCGTCGCCGCCGCAGACATTGCAGGACCACCATTCGCTGCCGAGGGCGTTTTTGCACCTGTCGCACACCAAGGCCTCGCCGGTGCCAGAGGCGCCCTTCCCCTTCCCCACCGATCCCGTCGCAACAGCAACCTCATTCGCCCACTGGTTGATAGGTTTCGGCTGCGAAGTAGCCCCGACACTCGAAGCCTTCTGTTGACTTCCACCCGCCTTCTTCTGACTCCCACCACCACCACCAGCAACACTCTTCCTCGCCTCCTTCTCCTTCCCCTTCCCCTCCGCCAACAGCCGCTCCACCAACTCCTCCCTGCTCAACCCCGCCAACCCCCTCCTCTCCTCCTCGGCCCTCTCCCTCGCCCTCTCCCTCTCCACCTCCTCCTTGCCCCTCCTCCCCAAGATCCGCGCCAGCATCTCCCCGCTCCGGTACTTGAACCGAAACACCGCGTACGGGCTCTCCAGCGTGTCCATGTACGCCGGCCGCGCCGTCGCGTGCGCGTACCCGTACGCCTTGCCGTGGTGCACGTAGCTGTCGACGAGCTTCTCGCGCGCGGTGCGCTCGGGCACGACGTAGGGCGCCTCCGAGGGGGCGAAGATCTCCGTGGCCGCGTCCGCCGACCGCTTGGGCTGGGGGTACGGCGCGGCCGGGGGAGCGCGGGGGGCCGTGTTTTGCCAGTAGCTTTTGATGAAGGGCTGGTCGGGGACGACGGGCTTGTGGGCGCGGGTGCTGGCGGCGGCGGCGGCGGAGGAGGAGGAGGCCGCCTTGGACCCGCTGGCCTTGTGCGAGCTGGTGGGTTTCGCGGCGGCCGGAGCTGTAAATTGCTGGACGGCGGGAGCGGCTGCCGCTGCGGTGGCTGGGGCGGCATCGTCGGCCCAGTTTTTCGCGGCTGGAGTCTGCTGGGCAGTGTTGTCCGCAGGGGTGGACCAGTCAAATCCGGCATTGTCCTGGCTCCACCCACCGCCAGTGTTGTCCGCAGCGTTGCCCACAGCGTCATCTTGGACGGCCCGCCCGCCATTTTGTTCGGTGGTGTCTGCACCGCCGCCCCAGTTATCATTGTTCCACGTCTGCTGGCAGCCGGAGGTGCCTGCGTTGTTACCAGCAGTATTGAATTCCCACCCGGATCCGCCAGCGTTGTTAGCACCGAAGCTGATGTTTCCATTGTTCCCGTCCCCCCAACCAGCACTGGCGCCCGTGTCTTGCTGAGTCGCCTGCTCTTGAATACCGGTCGCTCCCCATCCCGCGTTACCGCCAGCACCGCCTGAGCCATTGCCATTCCAGCCGCTCTGGCCGTTCTGGTGGTTATCACCCCAGCCGGCGGTATTTTGACCAGCGCCATTAACCTCAAACCAATTCTGACCGCTGGATTGACCACCGCCGTGGTGACCCTGTTCGTTTGCTATGTCCCATCCGGCATCATCGAAAGCACTGGTCAATTCACCCCTGTTCGAATGCGATGCAGACGGCTTCTCGTTGTCGATGAAGCGCCCCTCGAAGGGGTTCGGGGCTCTGGCGCTATCCTTAGGGTCGTCCCAACCGCCGGGCATCTTGCTCGTGCCATCGCGGCTGCTGGCGTTGCGGTGTTTCTGCAAAGTAGCTTCGTCGGGCGGGTAGCGCGGATTATACATCGGGTCCGGACGGTGCATAGAGCTCGCAAGGCTCTCGTCTTCTTGACCGAGGCGGTACGAGGAGTCCTTGACGTTTGCACCATGACCGGAGCGGATCGGGATCTGTCGAACTGGGTCGGTAACGCGTCCCTCAAGACTGAGACGACTACCATCCCATCGGACGTGGAGACTTACTTGATCTGAAGCCCTCACACGAGCGACTTCGCGGGTGTCGATGTTGCTGTAAGCACCGCGACGTGCATCTCCACTCGTGCGAGGACGGCGAGCAGCCTCGGACCCGTTTTGGGACGCGACGTGCGACACAGAGGCTGAAGAAGTTGGCTTATGTGCTGCATGGGGGAAACAGTCTCCTATCTCCAAGTTAGACCCTTCGAAGACCCAATATTCGTAGGGTTTGTTCTGAGGAATACCGTCGCTTGCACGAACACGGCGCCTCTGCCGCTGGGTGATGGGGGTTTCACCATGCTGGTTGCGCTCCACATCGGTGGGACGATACTGCTCGTAGTAGCTGCTAGATCTCTGCGCCACTCGACCACAGGAGGGTACAGCGGCATCTGGATGAGTGGCTATCCAGCGCAGGTAGTCGGCATATGAAGGGCCGAAGTCACGGGGAGGAGGCGGGCTTCGAGAGGCCCTCCTGTGGTAGGAGTCGTGCGAGTGGCGAGGACGATGGCGCCTGTCGTCGTGGTAGTGACAGTCATACGTCTGATCGTGATGGCGGTAGTCGTTGGGACCATCAAGGCCCGCTCCGAAGTCCTGGACCGCAACAAAGTCTTCGGTGCCGTCGAGCGTGCCATTACCCGGGGCGAGCTTTGGCTTGACCTTGACAGCCTTCTGCTTGCCCGCTTTTCCAGTGTTTCCCGAAGTGGGCTGGGCAGGTAGAATTTGTGCCGCGGCACCAGGCGCAGGCTCCGCCGAAGGTGCTTTGGTACGGAGAACAACGACCTCAATGGTGCCAAGGTTGCCCAGGATGGTGTCGTCAACATTGGGGGCCTTGTCCGCAGTTGCTGGGAGAGGTCAGTGATATAAACGGTCATGGCAAGGGACCAACGTCTACGTACCGATGTTGAGGCTGTCGAAGCTCCAGGCGCGGCCAACGAACTGGCCCTTGGCAATCTTCTCCTCCTTCTGCGAGACGCGGAAGTTGACTTCGTAAAAATCCGAAGGGATGGTGCCATCGGGCGGAATGAGGCCCTGACGGTGGCGATTGCATTGATAGACGCCGTCGATGTAGACGAAGATGGCTAGGCCTGGCGCGATGTAGCCATTCGACCTGAGGTTAAGGCTGAATCCGGTGCGCTGCTCGGGGACGGCGACATAGGCCTCGACGAAGCCATCGCTGTAGTTGGTGCTGAACTCTTTGAGAGGAGAGCGCGACGGCTCCTTCTCGAGCGTGCAGGTCAGTTGCTTTAAGGTCGGCATGGTGCGGTGCGACACGCTGCGCTTTGGGCGTGCCGCACAGCGTCAGCTTGCGGAAGATCTGGCGAAGAGTGGCTCACCAGTACGCACTGTGAGGCGCGACAGTGGTGGAATGTCTTGCTGCAGGCGAGGAAGAGGGCGCAGGTGTTGGGTGTGGGAGTTGAAGTTGGAAGAGCTCGCGACGGTGAGGAAGAAGAACAGAGCAGGGTGCAGCAGGCGATGGGCAGGTGGCCCTCAAAGTTGACCCAGCAACACCATGCGCGCAAAGTGATGATGGCAGTCGGGAAAGCGACCATGTGGCGGCGGCGCAGAGGAGCAGCCGGAAAGACAGCACGATTTGCGCGCGCGCTTCTTCATTTACTACGCACACGACTTGTTCCTATGGCGTCCTACATTCGTCCGAAGACGCTGCGGGAGCAGCGCGTTGTGGTGTCTACGGACGTGGTCCATGTAAGCCACGTGATCTGCAGACGTCGGCACAGCCGTAACCATTCATCAGCCACACCAAAGCGGGACTAGGGCGTATATGAAAGCATCTAGCCAGACTAGTGAGGCGGGATGTAGGCTTGAGACTGCGACGGGCGTAGAACGGCTGGACGGCGGGAGAGTGGGACTGGCCAAGTGGGTGGGCGGTGTGACTCAGAGATGCAATAAAGGACCCTGGGACCATGGGACGGGGGGATTCCATGGGATTGCTGCATCGAGGGTGACACGGCGGTGCATCGATGAGTCTTCAGAAGCAATGGTGTCCTATATGGCTCGGTCCCTGCAAAGCGCGGCAAAATCAGGCCAGCGCGGCGACGGACCGGCACCGCGAGCGTGTCGTGGACGGCGGGGAGGCGGGACGCGGAGCAGGCAGCGAGCAGCGGCAGTCTAGAGAGGGTCGATGGCACGATGACATATCTCGCAATGCTTCGTGGGCGGTCGCTTGGGCGGCGGGGAATTGCAGCTTGGGGCGGCCAGGCCGAAAGCAGAGCCGCCGTTGGTTGCTGCTGCTCAACCCTCGCCCCTTGCCCGTCGCTGCTGCTCCTGCTGCTCCTGCGCCGCCCCTGCACGACCCCAGACGCAGCCCTGCGACGCGTCGCCGCGGCGCACCTGCTGTCGCGCGGGCAGGCGCGGCCGGGCGGGCAGGCGGGCAGGCGGGCAGGCGCCGGGCGGCACAGGCACAGGCAGGTTTGAGGCGGGCGCGGCAGGCGCAGGGCGCGCGAGGAAGCGTTGAGATGCAAACGCCGTAGCTATGCGGACTATCACCATTTGACCTCGACCTCCATTCCTCGCCGCTGCTGCTACCCGTACCACGGATCCGTCGCCGCGCACAGCCCGCCCCAGGATATATCGCCCTGCGCCCCGGCGGCCACCTCAGCTCCTCTCTTATTTCCTATACTCGCAGTCCAAGCCTGTTCTTCCGCCTGCCCCAGCGACGCCACGACATGACGCGCCCTGTTCTTCTCTCGCCGCCGTGTCCCAACCCCCAGGCCATGCCCGCGTTTTAATTCGCCCCGAGCTCCTCCAACATGCAAGTTCTTTCTTTGCCTGTTCCCCGCTCCACCTCTCCCGACATGTCCTCATGACAGCCTACAGGAACTGCGGCAGCAGGCAGGACCTGCTCGGCGCCCTGACCCTCGCCGTCGAGAAGGTCCATCCCGCCGCCGCCCGCACCATTGTCGACTACCTGGCCAGTCCGCTCTCCGACCGCGACCTCTCCGACCTCGTCCAGTCCCTGGGTCCCGCCCGCGACGGCGACGATTGGTCGGAGCCCATGCCCCTCGCTGCTCAAGCCCGCCTGCTGGACCGCATCAATCACGCCAAGACGCGCTACGCTACCTTCCTGCGTGCTCGCAACCAGCACGACGTCCAGATCCAGTGGCCCTACGAGCACAGCCTGTGCACTCTTGGCCTGCTCCACAGCAGGGAGCTCGCCACTTTCTTCGAGCGCCTTTGGTCGCGCCGTTACACGCACTGCGCCGTTGGCTCCCTCGGCCCGCACTCGTACCGCTGCTTCAGCGTCGTCATCAGCTCCGACGACTTCGCCCGCCTCTGCACTTTTGCTCAGGACAGGCGTGTTGTTGTCACAGAGAACGTGCTCCAGACCTTTGGCCCTCTCGAAGGAGCCAGCACGCCTCGCACCATGCAGGACATTCACCTGGAAATGGTGACGGCTCTTCACGATATACACTTAAATCGCTTTGACATGGCTGCTTCGCCGGTTGCGCGTGGCAACGAGCCTTGGTTCCCTTTCCCCAACGCTGTACGCCAATCCAACGAAACAGTTGCCCCACCTCGCCTTGAGAATGTCATGCTGGACAGGAGGCTTGACACCACCAAGGACTGGGATCGTGGCAAGGCTGACGACGTGGTGTTGAGGAATGCTGCTCGCGCAAGAGGAGGCGGTCACCGCACTGCGTGTCATGGGATCGACACGCCCTGGAGACCTGCGATGCCTTCCCATTGGAAAAGCCTTGACCACGAACAAGGGGTGGACTTCTTCAATGATGGATTGGGCGACGGGAGTGCGCGAGGTGCTGTTCGTTGGCCTGAGCTTGCCGTCGTCAAGGAAAACCGTTATGACAAGGCAGCCCGCAGGCCGCCGCCCAAAGGCTACGTAATGGAGGCTTTGTCCAGCTCGGGTGAAGATTCAGCCTCGGTTGCTGTTGCAAGTCTCTCGACTGTTAACGGCGACCTCCAGCGGATGAAGTCGTTTGTCCAAAAGCCTTCACGGGGCGAGACCCTCCAGCCCGCTACTGCTGCACAAGACGTTGATACAGCGCAAGCGGAAGCCCTTCCAACGCCGCCGTCACCAAATGAGGCTGTCCCTATGTCCGGGAAACCGCCAAGCGTTACAGGGCTGGCAACTCCTCCCGACTCGGCATCGCCAGTCAAGCCTCGAGGCCCACCCAAACGGGTCAATACCAGGCGAGCTCCAAAGGCATCAGCAAAGATCAAAGCACGCCGTCCTCAAGTTCGCCGGACCACTCCAAACAAGACAGACAGCAGCTCTACGACCACGGCCAGCTCGCGCGTTCAATCGGTTTACTCTATGGAGGATCTCAAGATGTCTGCCAAGAGCAGTTCTACTACAGTGGATACACCATCACCAACAAAGCTCTGGACGAGTCCGGTCGAGGGCTGCAAAATGCTTGAAAGACGAGGGAGCTCTGGCCTGGCTACCTTCTCGCCTACAAAGCAAGCCACGACCAGCGTGCAGCACATCGAAGTTGTTGCTCAGCTGGCTTGGTCAGTTGCTGAGGGCATTGTATGCCTTTCAGCACTGAGTGACGCAAAGGAAATAGACGTCGACAAGACGCCTCCGCAGGAATTCCGGAAGGAGAGTGTTGACTCGACGATCGGGCCTATACATCGCAGCGCTGTCGATGCTCTCAAAAACAGTATGAGCCCGAAGTGTTCCATGGCCATGAGCGGAGAATGCAACCACGGAGCCTTGGATGGCTGGCGATGACAGAGAGGGAGACACGACTGCGAGTGCGATTGCATCAGTCATTCATTTACGACATGGTTTACAGCACGAGTACTCTTGCCGGCTCTCGCGTAGTAGTGCCTAATTGACAGCAATTGGCCCTGGACAAGGGTCAGTGGCTGGCCAGCACTGCCAGAGTTGGCGAATTTGATTCAATTCGTAGCGCCTTCCTTCTACGGTATGTATGTTTGTGTTCATTAGCTTTGTACTATTTGAAGGTTGGGGATTTTTCCTTTCTTTGCATTCTTTGCGGATACCCGCTCGTTGGTAGCGAAGTGTTGATGGCCTCTGATTCTTTCCTTTTCTTTCCAAGGAAACGGTTATACCCCCGGTTCATTGTGTGGGTTTTATCCTCGGAGCGGGTCATGGGGCGAAGGCGAGGCGTTCAGCAGGAGTTGCAGCGTAATGCGTAATGGGGAGGGCAGGATGGCAGGATGGCAGGACGGCGTGCGGTCCGAGCTATGGAATGGCAGATCAATTCGGTTGTTGTTAGTGAATGGACTATACGGCTTGATAAGGGTACGTCTCAAAAGCTAAATCGGAGGTGTTACAGAAACGGCCGGGAGTCTAGACCGGACGGATTCTGAGCAGAATCGGCTTCCCCACATTTTATGCTTGACGCCACAAGTGAGCCCATGTCCGCCATGGGGGATCAGAATGTGGCTCACCAACACTACCTGGTTCAGCCATGGCGCCGTTTCCCGCTACACATGCCTCCGGCGCCACTTTGCGGCACTTCTTCCCCTCCCTCCCCCTCTTCTCCGAGTTGTCCGAAACGCCGCACCGCCATGGGCCGGGGATGGCGGAGGAGGGATTGAGATGTGCTGCGCATCAAAATCGTGGCTGACTGAGACTGACTAATTGATTGACAGAGGCGCTCTCTAGCTCTCATCCCTTGGGTCGCACTGACAATCCATTGTTCGAACGTGGAGGTGGAGCTTCGCCCTGATCCCGCGCATGCACATGCACATGCCAGAGATGCTATCGGATGTTTTGCCGACTAATAATCCACCAACCACCCATCCATGCATGCATCCATCCCTTTCGTAGAAACAATACTGATGAAGTGTTGTCTACATGGGTGCGTGCGTACATGCTCACTATCCTCCCCTATAGTCACGTACGTATTTACATTGCACGCAATATATATATATATATATATATATAAAACCACACGAGTGTGTGACAAGTGAGGACGAGACCACGCACTTTGGCCGCGTGTTGCGTGTTGCGTGTTGCGTGTTACGCGTGTGCGTGTTGCGCGTGCGCGTGTTGAGGAGGAGGAGGAGGCGGAGGAAAGGGAACCTTCCGTCTTCCTCTCATCTTCGGGGTGGCCTGATGAAGCGTATGCAGGTGGCGATAATTGGGGAAGGGTGATCGGTCAGCTTCTCGAACAACAAAATGTCCACATACGTACAGCTCGCTCGCTCACTCACTCCCTCCCTCCCTCCCTCCCTTGCTAAAGAGGGAAGGGAGAGGGAGAGAGGGTCTCGGGCACGTGCCCGCCTCGATTTACCTTTTTTTTTTTATCTTTTTTTCTTTTTCCTTGGGAGGGCACGCACGCACGCTACCTGCACCACTGTTTGGCGCAGGATGCAGGGCGCATGCATGCGAGACGCGACTGTAGCACGAGAAGAAGGAAAAAAAAAAAAACACGACGCAGGGTCGTTCACGTTTGGACCTCTCACGTTCATCGGTGTCTCAACCTGTCTTTTGCTTTTCCGTGTGCCCTGCATTGGCTGGGTGTGCAATGGCTGGCTGGCGGATCTAGGCCCGAGGGAAGGGCGGGCGGGCTACCGGTTCTGGGGTGGTCGATTGGTCGGTCACTGGAAGTCTAATGGCTCGCTCGCCGCGTGGTGTGCGGCTGCGAACGTGAAAAGAGGGATGAGGCCAACAAGCCGTCCGTAGTCGCTAGCGGCCACGGGCGGAAACTGTATGTCCGTGTTGTATGTGGTTTTTCTTACTTCTCCGCGGCCCGGTGGCTGGCTGGCTGGCTGGCTGGCTGGCTGGCTGGCTGATTGGCGGCCGGCCGGCAATAATGGCGAAAAAACGGCATTTTCGGCATGTTCGGCATCTCCCGCGCAGGAGGATGAGGAGCTTGGTATGTACTGTGTTGGTACTGGTGTTGTGGGAAGAAGTCCGCCCGCGCGCGCATGCATTCCGCAACCTCGTTCCGGAAGAGGATGATGATCCAGCAAAGAACCACACCCTGCTCTCTTCGCATCCGTCTATGTGCATGCTGCATGTAGATCGTTCCTTCCGCCATGAAGCCCGGGAGTTCAATGTCGGCACGCACTGCATTTCGACCGAGTGAAGAAGTGACGACGCATACGCGATACGTCAGAGACACTCATGAGTCCTCACCAACGACTGCTGCCGTAAAAGTGAACAAGAAAAAAAAAAAAGACATACGAAAGGAGAGGAACAGGGCAACAGAGAGAGAGAAAGAAAGAACGACAAACTAACAAAACCCCCAGAACGTCCGTCTCTCCCCGGCAATTCCGAGCTGCCATCCACCCACAAACCGCCCCCCAGACACGCACATACCACCGCGAAAAAATAAAAATAAAACACGGCCCTCCCTGCCTGCCGACGACATGCCCCCCGCTCGGCACGCCCGTGCGTCATTCGCGCCCGCCCCCGGCCGGCGGCCGGCTTTAAACGACCAAAAACCCTGCACACCGACTATCATCAACCGTCGGTAGTGGAAGCCGACAGCCAGCCGGAGAAAGAACGGCACATTCTATCTCGGCCCGCGGACTGGTGATGATAGGGCGGCGCCGTGCATATGTACCTAGGGGGGTACGGCCGTCGAGCACGGCGCCCGCAAACGGCGCCGGGTGGAATCCGGCACCACTTCTTTTTGTTTTGTTGTTATACTTTTCGGGCGTGTGATAGATCGAGGGGTGGTGGGGCACATGGTCCCCCGCGGCCCGAGACCCACTCTACATGGTGGTGGCGGTAGTTGGTGGGCGGCGCGGATGCGGCAAATAGGTAGAGGCGGGCGGGTGCGGATAAGGGTGCGGGCGGATGTTGGTTTTGCGATGTGCGCAGGAAAACGGGCGGAAAAGGCTCGCCGGCTGCTTCTTGATCAGGGTGTGTGGACGGGGTAATGACGACAGTCGATAGGGGAAGGTGGCGGGATTGTCTTTGTTCCTTTTTGCAGTCTCTGGTTGCGTGTTTAGTACATACTGGTTCGAAGTGATTATCTTTCTCCTATGTTTTGGAGTCACGGTTTGAATGGCAGTAGTCGCACGTAGAACGAACAAAGAGCACCAAGGGGAGACATGGCATGCAAGTAGGGAATAGACGGAAAAGACATGGCATGCAAGTAGGGAGTAGACGGAAAAGATATGCCACTGCGGTAATGACGGAGAGGCTTACACCCAACGGCCAGATGAACACTTGCATCATCGTTGTGATCGACATGTCTCCTTTCCCCATGGCTTTGGCTGCGCAAACGTCCTGCTACACCAGTTGAGCCCGGCGCCTCTGTTGATGAGACAAACCTACACCAACATCCACGTGGAGCACCTCCTATCGCCAGCACACCAAAAAAGGGCGCGGGAAGGATTTGCGTCGACCAGACTATCAGAAGCGGTTATCGCTCATGGGGTAAGATTGCCCTAGCAACACAGCCCCCCGAGAGCACAGCGCACGCAAAGGCAGCAAGCACATCCACATCGCGATCTCGATCTCGATCTCGTCGTCTCTCCTTTTCCCTCCCTCCCCTCCACCACTCCTCCTCCTCCGACGCTGCACGCTCCTTCCCATCCTCCACCAGTAATCCCCAGTTAGTAATTCCTGGAGATAGACTAATCACCCCCGCCCCCAATTCACGTGTCACACGCGAATCGATCAGGAAGGATTCGCAACAAACCATCAGGTCTAGGCTCCCGACACACCGGCTAATCAAGCTCCTAGGGCTGGCCGGCCGGCCATGGGTTGGTCAATTTGAGGCTGAGAAGCTTTCCTAGCCAAAAAATCCTTCCTACCATTCCTATCCCATGCCTGCACTATCGCTCGCTACCGCCAAAGTGGGCGACCTACCTCGGCTGATGGTCTGCCTTTCCTGGCCAACCCGAGTCAGGTGGTGTGAGACGCGGGAAGAGAGGGGGGGGAGTAAAAAAAGTGCTCAGCTTCATTATTGGCGAATCGCTACCGTGACCTAAACCAGTTAACATCTCTTGGCTTGATCTTCCCCGGAGCGGGTGAGCGGGAGCAAAGGTACTGGGGGGCGGAGTTCCGCTGGCTGGCTTGGTAGCTAGCCAGAATTCATCGGTCAGCTGTACAGGGATACGGGAAGCGAAGCCGTCCAAGCAGATCGTATGAAGTCAGAGTATACAGGGAAGTCCGAAGCGGAAAGCTACCGGTGAAAGAACTATACAGACGGGAGAATTCTGAAGTCATAGTCCTTTGAAGCCTAAAGGGGACAACTGGCCGCGATGACGATGGCCTTGTCGATCCGTAGGGCCGGACGATCAGTAAGCTACTGAGGCGGGGGGGAGAGAGGCACGGGGGTCAGTGCTGATCCCACGAGGGCTCGACATCGTTTCCCATGCGTACACCCGGCCGATCAATAGGATCCGCACAACTCTAGCCGGGAGGGTAGTAGGGAGAGTATGAAGAATAGGAGACAGGTACCTATGATGAACAGCGTACGAGGCGGCTTACCGAAACATCCGCAGGACCGGCAACCAAGAGCCAGCGGGAGCCCAAGCTCGTGGGGGTGGAAATGTGGGAATCCAAAACACCATCAACGAACTCCTTTCAGACGGTGACGGAAGCCCTCCGCACAGATACAGCGAGCGAATGGCCACACAGGCCATGGACGGAACGGGAGCCGCGTGTTTGGACCCGCTGATATCCGCTCCTCCCGCATCCACGACCGCACAGCATTGATCGGTCGTTGCTCCGCGTCTTGTGACGGCAGTCCGTGCGTCCCACTCTATCGATCCTCCGCGAATGCCACAGCATCATTCCCACGAATGGCAGCAGAGCACGGCGCGAGCCAGGCGATGACGACTGTCTCTGGCCTTCGGGCCGTTTGACGTGAGCTGCGACGAAGGGCATGGGCGACGAACGAGGCCTAGAGCTGACAGCGCGACAAATCAACGGAGCGCTTGGGGTCGTGGATTAAGCTGAAAGCGGACGTAGCTGGTGCCGCCGCTAGGCTCGGGTGATCGTGCCGCCGGGACACTTGCGCAAGCCGAGAGCGCCATGCTCCGTGACGTGGTCTGATGGGCGAGCATCGGATCGGGAGGCTAGAGATGGTAGTCTACCGTCCGACTTGCAGTGCCCACTACCACCTCGATGCGAATCCTTCCTCGCTTAACGACTGCGCAGATCGACGCAGCTGAGCAGGAGAAAGGTAGTGTTGGAGACGGTTGCGCGCCTTGAGTCCTCGCTTTCGCAAGGCCAGGACGAAGGAAAAGGGATCCGTGCAAGGCGCGGAGCGGGTGATTGGTGGACCGCCGCCTGGATTCCCCTTTCGTCCCCGTGATGGTGATGGAAATGTCGTGTTGATGGCAGCGACGTCGTTGCTCGGTCGTCCGGGCTGCCAAGAATGCTGTCAGATTTGGGCCCAAGCGCGCGGAGTGCGGGTTGGTGGCACGGAGCGCGTTCCTTTCTTCCACTCCCACTGCTCACCTGTGACCTTGCTTGCTTGCGGTCGAGGCAAAAGGCCCAAGTGCCTTGCTTCGTGCCCGGCGCCATGGGCCATGCATGCTTGTGCTTTGCTTTGTTTCGTAGTCTGTCCGCTCGCGTCACATCGCGTGTCGGCCTGCTGCCACACCTCTGCCCCTGCTCATCTACCAGGAACCGGCGGCCTGATACATGTACTCGTACGCAAGTGCGGACCTGAAACGGAACATACCTTTAAAGAATGTAGATACACGGCCTCTGACACGCGTCCGCAAGCCAAGAGCCATCAGGCACTCCCGCTCTAAAACGAGGACGAGGCCGCGGTAGGTGGCTTGCTCGGAGTCGCCGTGCAACGCGTGCGCTCTCTCGACACCTCGCTTCCTGCTGACGGCGGCGTGGGAAAAAGCGCCAGCAACCGCCCGAAGGCTGCTGCCGCGAGCTGAAGCCGCTCCACCAAGCCCCCCCTACCCGGGCCGGGGGCTGGGGGGAACAAAGGGCCGCACGGCGATCGGCTGTCTAGTGAGGAGGACCCGGTAGGCGCTTGCCAGCCCTTCAGCCCTCTGGATCGATCTATCATGCTAGGACGGGGGGATTATCCCATTCCGGGGTAGGCCTGGCCCGAGGCGTTGGTGTGTGGCGCTCCCAACGCACACCCCACGCGTTTGCGCTGCTAACCCGCGCTATCGCTGCACGGTCAACGATGACGAGAACGACGGACCTTCGGGGAGCAGAGAGATCCAAGAAAAGGCAACCACCGCCGCGGGTAAGGCGGGCGCAGGCGCGACGATCCTCTTGGGCCGCTTGAGGAGCGTGCAATACCCGCAAGCAGCTAAAGAGTGGTATTGGCGTGTTTCGCATCGAAGTCCAAACGCATCCACATGCGTGCTTTCCCTTTTCAAGTCTTCCCGACCTATCCCATATCCCGGGCCCGTGGCTCTTATCCTTTTCAGATCCCAGTGGTGAGGTCGAAGAGGACGAAGAGCGGATATCACTTCTTGCGCCTTTATCCTCCTCTTTCTTGTCTCCACCGCCCTAACTCTCATTTGTTCTTATTCCGTAGTCCTCTCCTCATCACTCTCTTTCCCCCGGCGTATCGAGCCCGGTAGTTTCCTTCTGTTCGGCGAAAGCTCCCCACCACTCTCTGCACGCCATAATACCTTCCCGTCTAGTCGAATGGGAAGCGTCCATTTCCGTCATTCTCCACCCCACCCCTAACCACTCTACCGGATCCGTCACGCGGAAATTGCGGGACGGTGACTGCGTTCCTTTCACCGAAACTTTCTACCCGCTTGAGAGAAGGGAGTGTGTCACGCCACACCAACCGCTCTTACCTCTTCACCGGCCACATTCTCAACCGTGGACCCTCCTCTCACACAAAACTCACCCTCAAAATTCCACACCATGTCGATAACCACCGTATCAAAACCGACCCCACCACCCCGGCCCAGCCGACCCGACGCCAACCAAACGCCGCTCACGCCCACCTCTCCACGGCTCCCCGGCGGCTGGCCGACAACACACACCTTTCCACTCCCACACCCGCCTCACCCCAAGTCCCCGCCTCCATCTCCACCCGTCAGTGCAGGCTTGAGCGAGAGTCTTCCTTTCGCCATGACGCGGATGCTTCTCGAAAGCGGCGTTGTCGAGGCCGCTGCGGTAAGAGGTGGAGATCCGCCCAACTCGCCCGCCACGCCAGGAACGTGGCGAAGCGGCGGAAAGTGGAGGGGAGCGACTGGTGAGCAGCAGCAGAAGAAGAGGACAAGATACTGGCGGGGCAGGAGCAAGCGGGCCAGCGTCAGCAGCAGCGAGAACAGCCTCGAAGATGGCCCGTACGTGGGCCGGCCGCGGGCGTTGACGCAGCCCACACAGCTGGGCATGAGCTACCAACAGCGACCACTACCGCGCGTATGCGAGCGCCGATGCAGCAGCCCGACGGGCCCGCGCCGCCCACGTGTAACCGAGACGCAGGGTTGGAGCAGCAGCAGCGACAGCGAGGCTTCTGACGATGACGTTTCCACGTACAATCCTCCTCGTCGAACATTGAGGGTGCGGAGGGGATCCGATACGAGGCCGGCAACCGTGCTGCGGTTGGAGGGCGTCGGTGCGGTCGTCATCGAGGAGGCACCGCGACGGGCAATCAGTGCGAAAGCCGGCGGAGGTGTCAGGCTTGTGGATGCGCGCAGCCCTGGCGAGTGGAGCACTCCTGTCATTGTCAAGGACGGAGAGATGAATGTCGTGGAAGCCGAGGCCGTCGAGTTCCAGCAAGAGGCGACGTTGGGCGAGCCAGGTCCAGGACTCTCAGGCAATGAGAGAGTCATGAAGACATTGAGATCGAAGAGGATGGAGGCTTTGCGAACGGGCAGGTTGTCACCCGGCGGTGCTCTGGATTTCGAAGAGAGGCCGCTGCCGTCGACACCGATGAGCATGCAACCGACGCCTAGAGAGCTGTATCCTGCAAGCGATGGCTCTGTTTCAACTTCGCCGTCTCTCTCATCGTCGCCGGCTCTGACGCCTCCTGCAACAACATCTCTGCCGTTGAGGTTTCCCATGCCTCCGTCCCACATCCCTGGGCGGCCGCCTCTTCAGCCACTGCCCGAAACTCCCGATATCGTTGACGACAACACCACCGACGATATGGGCGCATCGGCATATCCTCTGACACCGATCGCTACCGACCTGAGTTCGCTGTCCGTCATTGCTGGACTCGGAGATGACTCTCCATCCGCACACCGGAAGACCCGCTCTGATTCTCGTCCATCGAGGTCAAGCAACAGCAGCCGTGCAGGAACATACGACGACGCATCTCGATCCAGCAGTGTGTCAACCACGAGCATCCGCTTGCGCAGCGGGTCGGTGGTGACAGTCATCCCGCCAGAGCAGACAGCATGGCAACGGACTGCTTATGTTGCGGGCCCGATCAGACTGAACAACTTCAGCAATCTGGCTAGCAGCAGCGACGCATCCCTTCCGGGTCTGTCGAGGAAACGTGGCAAGGCGGGTAGCGTCGCTTCTCTTGATGCGTTCCAGGACGCGATTGAGAGCCTCCTGGAGAACCCTGCGACCCAGGGTCGGCGCGCCAGTGATGAGAACGCGCTTGAAGAGCTGGTCGAGTACTTTGAGGATTTCGGCTTCAGTCCAGCGGGTGGCGAGGGGGAGTCGTTGGACTGTTACTGGTCATCGGAGCTCAACGGGGACGCCAAGAGCCGCGGCAACCATGGCAGCTTCGGCACTGGCTGGCTGAGCCCCCCACCCGAGAAGCCGGTGCCTGTCGTGCCCGTACACTTCCCAACGGAGTACTCCTTGACCGCCAAGAGAATGAGAGCAATGAACGGCAGCATGGGTGCTGTGGAGGTCATTGAGATGCAGGATGGAGACAGCGGGAGTTTGAAGAGAACTCCGAGTTTGTTAAGCAGAGCAAGTCGGACTAGCGGCGAGAGGAGGAGTCGTTTGGCCGGACCTAGTGGCCAAAAGACCAAGCTGAGGAGGCTGATGATGAGTGCAGGGGGGATTCTGTGAGGACTGCTGCCAGCAAGACAGCCAGACCATGACTTTTAGCTTAGTGTTTGTAAAGATACCATTAGCCAGACATAATTTTGCGCTTCAGAAAATTCAAAAGAGAACCATCTGCTGGACCTGGTCTATCAAAAGAGGCATTGCAAGCAAGTGACGGATACCTTGTGTTGGAGTGCTGGCCGTTCGCTCGGTCCAAGTTGAGGATCTGCACGATGCTCACCGCACGCAATGCAGCTGGTAGGCGACGGATGCTCGAAAGTCAGTAGTGCGCAACGTCGTGTGGTGGGTCTTGGCCGCGTGACGACACTAGCATTCCTCCCCGTGACTGCTTGGTTTTTCGGTTCTCGGACCGCCGCTTTCACCGCTCAGCAGTAACTGCACCCCGCTGTTGTCACCGACAGGACTGACCATCGTCGATGTGGTTAGAGCATTTCGTCCGGTTGGTGTTCCGGCAATATTGTGGGACAACCAAGTCCCCGTACGTGACGCTTACGGGCTGTTTTTCCTTGTTGGCCGCTGCGGCTACCGCGGAGGTAAATCCGCCAAACATCAGTCGGTGGACCCTGGATAGTCCAACGTGCTGGAAAGGTTGGTTCTCATCAGACGGAGGCGGCCGTGAAGAAAGCCACCGCGCACTTCGACTTGCATCTATCCCCTGGCTTGATCACCCGGCAACCGGGAAAATACCCCACGCGTGGTGTCGCTCAGCGGCAGATGAAACAATCCACACGGATGCTGATGCAGAGATGTCAGCTCGTCGTGACCGCCACTATGATGGCAGCGCAGAGTTTGCCACACGGAGATGGAGGGAGTTACACGACAGCTTTTCTTTGTTTATTTTCTGGGACTTGGGACCTCGGCGGCCCGAGCCGTATCTCCGAGTTGCCGTTTCCGGTAGCCGGCGAGAAGCTCTGCAGCATTCCTACAGCTCGCCTATCATAGATGCAGGGCAGACGGTCAGATTGCAGATGTCCTCGTGAGGCTGGGTGCTGTTGGGGTGGCGTCAAGTTCCAGTGTTTGGGAACAGCTGCATCCCCACGGCCGGGAACGGCCAGAACCTGTGCCTCTGCAAAATTCAGGTTTTTGGGATCTTCTCGAGTCGTGCAAAAGTGGGCAGAGATCGTCCGTCCCCCCGGGAAGCGCAGATCCGGAGGCTGTTTGTCGGAGTGGATCTGGGACGAGAAAGAAACAGAGGCGGTGTCTCGAGGGGAGGTGGGCGTGCATTAGATACTGCCCCGCCACGCCGCCAGCGTTGTGACGGCGGTGCTTGGCGTGTCGGCAATTGTGATGTCGGAGAGACATGTCTCCAAGGGGCAAGCTCGCGCAGCGGATGCAGGTCCGGGAGCAGCTAACGGACCCTGAAATTGAGACTGTCACACTGATCAGGCGAAAATGATGAAATGCGGCGCTTACACTGGAGCATCGACGTCGCCTTTGATGAATCAGGAAGGTTTCCAGAACCCAGAGAAGGATTGGCTCCGAGGCTAGAAAGCGTTGAGTCTGGCAACGACGGCGAGAATCCTTCGGGGCGCGGCGCCTTGGACACGCTACTCGGAGCCGCATCGTGGCATGGCCGCGGTGATTGGCGAGGGCCGGGTTCAGATTGATGAGGGTGCGTGATGTTGCTATTCTGGTGCGGCTCGAGCAGCTGGCGGGCCGTCGTGCGGATGGAGCGCAGGCGGAGGAAGTTGGGTGTGACAACGGCGGCAGCACACGAGCAGCAATTTCGCCAGGCTATGACCTCACTTGTGCGGTGCGCTGGCGGCGGCCGTCAGTGCGTGCGGCGAATCTCTTGAGCCGCGCAGCAGCAGCAGACTCAGCAGTCGTCCTCAGGCTCCACTCTGTCGGCCGCGACGTTACAGCGGCCGCACGTGAGGAGCGCTGGAGGAAGCTACAAGCGCCACCAATCAAACATGGCGGTGAGCTAGTCCTGAGACAAGACAGCGCATCTCAGCGCTGGGCCGAAGTTTCAACGGCTTTTGCGGCTCTAATTTCGGTCAATATTGTGCCAATAACAGGAGGACGACGAGGGATGGAGGCTATAATTACGCCGATCCGATCATACCATTCAAGGTTTGGCCTCGGAGCCGGAAGGGGAGCCTTGGCGGGCGTCCCCGTGGAGAGCGCGGACAGGCTCTTCTGGAGAAGCAGGACTCGCAGGACTCGGGGGCGGTGCCTGGCCTGCGGCGGCACGTTGGGCAGAGGCGGCTGCGCCTGGCGCGCCGGTGAGCCGCATTTTGACGTCTGCGTGCGGCGGCGGGCGAGGCTCGCGCCGGTGAGGGCGTCGCGGGCGTCGCGGGCGTACAAAACGACCAACGGGCGCGGGAGGGTCGCTGGGTGCTCGCTAGCAGCAGTGGTGGTGGTGCAGGCGGCGCTGCGGTTCGCGGGCGTGGCAGCCAGGTGCCGGGTGCCAGGTGCCAGGCCAGCCAGGCCAGCGGTGGCCGAGCGGCGGTTGGCGGTTGGCGCTTGCAGCGATGCGAGGGCACCCGGCGCAGCGGGACCCATCTTCTTCGCAGCAGCGCGACGCGTGGGGAAGGACGGCCGGCATCATCGAGTTGCCGTAAGCAGGCAGCCAGTGAGGCGGCGAATGGGAAGCCGGTCGGCGACGTGCCCATTGGCGGTGGGGGCGCGCGCACGCACGCGGCCGGCTCTCGAAACAGCGTTGGCGATCAGCGTGTCTCGTATTTGGCAGCCGGGAGCCCAGCCGGGGCCTTCCCTGCAGCCCGGGAGGTGACAAAGTGACGCACGCCAGCCCCCAGGCGTCCGTGCCAGCGCATCCCGCGGCCGGCGATAATCAAAAGGCACCCGCCCGCCGCATGCTCCTCTGCCCATCAAACACCAACCAGCACCCGCTCGCCCTGACTTTGCGAGCCATAATTGCAGTCTCGTAAGTCTGCGCCGCGCCCTGCCGCCGCGCCCGTTGCTGATCGCCGCCAGCCGCTGCACCCCGACTTCCGCGCCCACACGCCCACACGCCCGCCTCACCTCTCCACCCGTACCGCCGCCGCTCCGCGCCTCGACCGCCGCTTCTAATGGCCACCGCGACCACCCTCCAGCCCTCGGATCCCTTCCTCCAGATCTTCCATCGCGAGAGGCAGTCCATCTGGCAGCAGCACCCACACCTGTCCGACGGCGACCGCGAGCTTCTCTGGCACCAGCGCAAGGCTGAACTGGCCTCCTTCCTCGCTACCGACTCGACCCAGCATGTGCAGTCCGCACACACGCCCAGGTCCCTGTCCAGCGTCCCCACTGTACCGCGCTCCGTTCCCTTTTGGTAGCCATGCCCCCCTCTGACTTGTGCAGGATCTCGGCCTTTCCATGGCCATGAACCGCTCCGAGAGCACGTCGATACACTCCGCTCCCGCCGGCGTGTCCATGTCTCCCTCGTACTCCGGCGCCTCACCCGTCGACTTCTCCAGCCACCTGCTCTCGAACGGCTTCTCCCATCAGCGCCCCGAGCTTTTCTCGAGTAATACCGACCCCACCGGCGCTGCCTACACCCTGACCACCAAGGCCGGCCTCGCCAGGAGTACGTCCGTGCACCAGCCTATGCCTCCCCTCGACGAGGTCAACGTCTACGAGGACCCCTCCGAGTACATCGCCACCTTCAACGGCCACGCCCACAGCCTCCCGGCCAGGTTCGACAGCTTCCCCTCGACTTACCCCATGCAGCGCGCCTACAGCAACGTCAGCTCCATGTCCCCCGGCACTTCCGTTGGTGAACTGACCGCAGGCTCCACCGTGGCCAGTGACAGCATGAGTCGGCAAAGCTCGTCCAGCGCGACCTTTGCCCACCAGTTCGACATGATGCGAGTCCAGTCGCAGTTTTCCAACACTTCCGATTCTGTTTTTCCTACTCATGATTTCTTCGTTGCTTCACCATCTGCTTCAAAGTCTCAGGGCTTGCCGGCAGATGGTGACTTTTCCTATATGTCTTCTGCTTCCGGCGCTGATATTTCATCAGCGCATTTTCCTATTTCGTCTTCTCCTTTTGTTCCTTCTCCTGCTGTTGCCAGCAACTCTGCTGCACGTTCAAATTCCCACTTCTCTCCCGTCGCCAACATGGCGCGTTCGGGTTCGATGGAGAGCAACGACTCTGCAGGCTCTCCCTCTCGTCCGAAACGCCGCCACATCGAGCAGCTCGCTTCGGGAGCGAGACCCATCGCTCCCAAGGCCTCTGAGGGTGGCATTGCCATGAACTCTGCTCAGATGGAGCGCGCTCCATCTGCAGCCACCTCGGCCTCTCTCGTTCGTGTGCCCACGTCTGATGGCACCGGCACCAAGTCGGTCGCCGCCATCAGCAAGGCTCCCTACATTCGCCCTGTGCACCCCAAGATCATGTGCCAGAAGTGCAACGAACACCCTGAGGGCTTCCGTGGTGAGCACGAGCTTCGCCGTCATACTGAGCGCGTGCACGCAGCCATCCGCAAGGTGTGGGTCACCGTCGATGCCTCCCCCAACAAGCAATTCCTCGCCCACTGCAAGGCTTGCCGCAACGGCAAGAAGTACGGCGCGTACTACAACGCCGCAGCGCACTTGAGACGCGCTCACTTCAACCCTCGCAAGCGTGGTCGCAAGGCCAAGGGTGACGAGCGCAGGGGCGGCAAGGGCGGTGGCGATCACCCTCCCATGGACGTCCTCAAGCAGTACTGGATGAAGGAGGTCGAGGAGTTTGTTCCCGAGAACGCGAGCAGCAGCAACGACCTGAATGCCGATGCCGAGTGCGAGGACGAGGAGCCGGTGAACCACGCCAGTCAGTTTGGCATCAGCAGTGACGGTATCCCCACGGCAGTCATGGAGGGCAGCAACTGCCCTTCCGGCACTGTCCCGTCCAATGCACCTGCCTCGAACCCCATGTCTCCCTCTGGGCTGACTGGCAACCTGTCCAACCCCGCCATCGGCTCCTTCGACACCCAAGCTCTCGCGTTCGAGCCCAGCACCTCGTTCAACACTGCGTCTCAAATGCAGACGACCGACTTCTCGATTTTGGACCAGTACGCGCCGGCCATGGCCGGCACGACGCTCTCGCCGACGCAGTTCCAGCTCGACCTGGGCGACCCGTCGACGATGACGCAGCACCAACAGCAGATGCCACCGCAGCAGCAGCAGATGATGCCGCAGACTTATGATGTCAACGCCATACCTGCTACTACTGCCGGTGACTTCAGCGGGTACTTCGTCGCTTAAGTTTCTTGTTCACTACTGTGCAGATACCTTGATCGGTGCTGCACAGATCTTTTCCGGCTTCTTGTTTCATTTTTTCCATTGTTTTCCTCTGTCTTATCATCTTCTGCTTCTTTAGGCTGCGAGCGGGCTGAGCGGGGGCGCGCTGGCTGGTCGCTTTCCCCCAGCTCGCCCGCCCGCTGACTGCTGTGCGCTAAGTACGTACCTTTCCATTCTCTTCCATCTTCCCCCTTGTCATTTGTCGCCATTTGATCTTTTTTTCCCATCTTTCAAGGCGATAAATCTCGGATGTCTCAAGCAACAGAAGAAAGACCGGGTCACGGCGTTTTTGGGGGCTTTTGTCCCGAGGTTTCATACGTTCCTGCTTTCCTACTCCTGCGAAACGTTCCTCTTTCTCCACAGGGTCGGTGTTCTTCGGTTCCATCGGCTTTACGGTTAGAGGCGCAGCATTTTGCCAGCAGTCAGGGTCGTTTGGCGGCGTTTTGTTGCTCGAAAAAGTGTGTCTTTTCCTGTTTCATTACTGTCTGGGAAGGTGTTCAGCAGAATTCCAGTGCGGAGCTGAATTTTCAACCACCCATTTTCTACTGTTTCTTTTCATTCCCTTTGTTTCATCCTCTCTACTGGGCGTTTGGTAGCGGATTTTCTTGTTCTCACGATGCCATGAGTCTGAAGCGGAGCGAAAGACTAATTTCCCTTTCGACCTTCGACCTTCTACTTTTCTTCCTCTTTCCCCCTTTTGTACATTCTCCTTGTTTGCGAGTCTGTACGTATCTATCTCATGTCATTTTGAGCGATCGATTGTCTTCCATACTACATAGCTTTTGTTGGTTGGAGATGATGCAGATGATGGGGAAAAGAGAAGAAATATATCTTTATTACCAAACAATTCTTTCTGTCCTGTGCTGTGATAAGTGCTTGTGCCTGTGGGGATGTTGTGATAATACTACTACTACTATCGACTGGGTGTCACGATTTCTCTCTCTCTCTCTGACTTCTACTTCTTTGTGTTACGCCGTACGAAGGGGATTCTACATAGCCTTGCGATTGACGGCTGGAGTGACCCCCTCCCCAGATGTCGCCGCGGAACAGTACAGCAAGCACTCTCCGAGGAGAAAGAGAAAGAGAATGTGACGTCGGACAAGGCAATGTGGTGGCGAGATACCTAGACATGCCTGCCCGCCCATGCGGCGTGCTGACGCCTGGCGGTGAGGTGTGGCGATGACATTATTGTTGGGGGGTCAATGTTGGTGGAGTGGCTTTTTTTTTCTCAGCCATGTGGTGGTGGTGGCGATACATGCAATGTGTTCGATTCACGATGCAATGCTGGGTGGGGCGAGAATCGTGAGGCCGGCTTTCTCCATCTCCCTTACCGTCCCGCCGTTGATGCATGCACGTTTGGCGATCTCTCGTTACGTGCGTGAGAGTGATCGACAGGGTAAAAAATTCTCCTTGTTTTCTTTTCGCAGAGGACCCTGGTGGAACGGGGCAGGCTGCAGGATGGGGAAGGGGAAGGATGGATGGAATGGAGGGTGAGGCGGGATGTGCGATGATGAATGTGGGAAGTAAGGATGTGGGCCGTGTTTGTGATTGTTCGTTTTCCTTGGGTGGGATGGTGTTGTGTGGTGGGGTTCGCTGTTCATTTACCGTGTACGGATTCCACGATGATGAACAGAGGAGCTCTCCGGACCATGTCGTGTTCTCGGGGTGGGCAACAGCAAGGGGCACGTTTTCGGGCAGGGTGCTCCGGGATCAGCTTCTGTCAACGGCGTGCATGGAAGCATTGGGCGTGGCGCAAAGCTTCGGGGAATTCAGAGGGATGGGAAGGAGATCGGCAGCGGTGGGTATGTTTTGGGGAGCTTCTGTTTCCCTGCCATGCAGCCACCGACACGGCGATGATGAAGTTGGCGGTACGAAACATGGGCGCGCAGTCGGGTGGCAGTCATCGGGACGCAATGCAGTCTGCTCAGGCGGTGCGGTCTGGAGCGTTCCGCGTCAGAGATCGGCAAAGCAGCGAGAAAAGAAAAGCAAAGCTGTTAAGCTGCTCTCGGCAACATGCTGCGGAACGAGCAAAAACGTGGGATGGCGTTGACGAGCGGCGGTGGCACAAGGCTGCAGGCGCCGGGGGACAGGCGCTCGGGAAGCAGCCGAGCGGGGTCTAGAGCGGGCGGCGACAATCATGGACCAGAAGGAGCGGCCCAGAGGAGCGGAGATGTGCAACGCATGCGACGGTGATGTTCAGAGGCGCTTCTCGTGGTGGTGGCTGACAGAGAATCGGGATGCCGGGTTCGGTGACGCGGGTGCGGACGGGGGGGCCAACCGGGCAACAACCCAGTCGTCTCAGCCAGAGTGCGTAATGAGCGACTCGGCGCGAGTCGGGCGCAGCTTGGGATCGCGCTGTCCCTGCGTGTGCGCGCGACGTGTCGTACCGAGTACTGGCAGCAGGTGGGTAAGGAGTGGGTTGCTTTTTCGTCGCGTCCCGTCGGAAGCGCGCCAGCCGGGTGACGTCACGGCGACCTGGCGACCCTGGCGATCCCTCTTGGCTTCTGGCTCCCGACTTCCGCGCTGCACAACATCATTGCCTTTTGCTTTTTCGTGCCTGTACCGTGGGTTTCAGTCGAGCATTCACAGCGTCGCTTGCCGTCTCGAGTAGACTGCACCCGCCTCACTTCTGGCACATGCTCAGAGTCTAATCCACCCCGAAAGACCTTCGCTGATTGCGTGGTTTCAAGTGACGGCGCAAGTCGCGACCCATGGCCACCATCTTCTGCCGCCTTCAAGCTGCTGCCAAGCAACCGCTTCGTGAGCGCACTCATTTGCCCGCTTGATACGGTTCTTTGGCAAGCGTTCAACAAGCATGTCTGCCAGATCGGGGTATGAAGAGCCTATCTGTAAAAGTGGGCCATTCTCGAGGGATGCCATGGTAAATACACGGTAGCTGGCCTACCAGAACCCATCCTTTCCAAGTGGCTCTAGCTGCTCGTGCTTTCGTGTCTGCCTTCACCCTTTCACGCGATGCCCAACAACCCATGGGTAATGTCACAATGGCTGGTGCCGCCCTCTTTCACATACCCGCCACGTCGCCGTTTCACCCATGTATAATACTAAGCACACTCTGCTCAAATACTCTCGATCCCTTACAATCACAACTCGACCCAGATTCCGAACCTGTCACCCACCATGGAGGAAGAAGCTGGCCCACCCGCTCGCAGGCTTACCTATGAACGCATAGCACGCACTGAATACCTTTGCAAGTGTTTTGACGCCAGACCGGCAATCTCGTCCTCTACATGCACGACACCACTCAACGCCAAGCCAACGCTCGCGGTCTCACCCGCTACGAGCAGTCCACTCAAGCGGAAACGCCCAAACTCGCTTGAGCAGTCCTACGAGAGCTGCGAGTCCGTCGATCCCCAGGAGGTAGGAGCATTGCACGAGCTCCAAGTTGTTGAATAACACTAACGTTGATTGCGTTAGGTCAAAACTTTCGTCAACCGAATCATGATGGATGCAGCGCTATCATATTCAGCACCCCAGATCTGGCTTCCCTTTGCAACCCTCCAAAAAACACACTCGTTAACTCCCACGCATGACACGACTCCAGTTATGGCCCAGGACTCACCATTCCTAAAGCTACCAGCCGGGATCAGGAACGAAATCTACCGCCACGTATTGTGTCCGGAATCGCCTGGTACGCCACTGAAGCTTCGTGATGCCCACACCAGATTCAAGCCCAAGCCCAAGCCCCAGCCCAAGGAGTTACCCCAGTTCTGGAATCCTGCCATGGGACTTCTGAGAGTGTGCAAGCAATTGCACCAAGAAGCAGGCACTTTTCTGTATTCCAACAACCATTTCTGGGGCGACGACGGCGCGATCCTGAAGATTCTGTATGCGCCGAACCCTATGGTTCCGCGCATCCGTCACTTATCCATGAGTAATGCGGGGGACCTCGTGCTCCCGCACACGCCGATATATTACCTTATGATGCCGGTACTCTCTGAACTCAGCAAGTTGCCTGATCTTGAGAAGCTCGAGCTACACATGGATCGCACAGATCGTTTATTCCAAACCACGCCCATGAAACCCCGTGAATTTGCGAGAGCAGTTTACTGGGGTGCACTCTCGTGGGTCAAAGAGAAGAGAAGGGTCAACAGGGACCTGAGGATCGCCGACTGCATCCACATCGTCTTTCCGCATCCATCTCCTCCGTTCGACCAGGATATGTTTCGCGAGGAGTTTTCTTACTTTGTCGAGATTCACGCCCACAAGTTGCACTATGGACTTGTCATAGGTCCGTTGGAGGAGCAGGAGGATTTCGAGCGCGAAGTTGACCGCCGAATTGAGTCGTTGCAGGCTTGCACAAGGAGACCGTCATAAAGGATATTCATAGGCAGCCGAAGAAGATATGCGGATCTACACGTGCGTATTGAAACAGTACAAATTTATTCATGCATAGGACTCCGCTCCCTATGTGTGAGATGTACGTGGGTTAATCTTATCGAACGTGAGGAGCAAAAACAATCAAGTCCACGCGGGTTGGCCGAACGCTCTCGCCATGCAGCAAATTTGGTGCTACACCGTGCCTTCTTCATATGATCTCAAGGCGCCTATCTAGAACCAGTGCAAATTTTAGCGTGGTCGCGAGGCACATGAACAGATATCTAACGCCCTTGTCCAAGCAACACTCCCCTTCCTCCTCCACACTCTGCAACTCACGCCCACAGCCAGCGGCCAAAGGGCTTGCCATCAACCAGTCACCAACAGTGTCTACTCACCCACCGTACAGCTTTCAAGATGTGCGATTGCAGCACACTCGCCACCATGCCCGGCAACCACGCCTGTTGGAACGAGCAATCCTCGTGTCCTGGTCAAGCCGATCGGTGGTGGCGGCCTGGCACCAGACCTACTCGCCCTCACCTGGAACGCTGGTGTCATCGCCGAGAGTGAGCAGTCGGAGGAGCTGAGATCCTTTCTGGAGAAGGCCATGGGTATGAGGCGTTTGCTGCCGAATGTGTAGGGGTGTTCTAGGAGCCGTAGTAGCACAGAGCTTGTGGCAGCACTGAGTCGAATACATGACTGCTGCGAAGCAGCCAATATACTTTTATGACAGGAGCAATCACTTCGAGCCCGAATGGGTTCCTTCCTTCCCAGGTCTTTCCCGCGTGATTGCTGTAAGCGTAGACTTTTCTGGTTCAAGCCACCGTCTCCCACATCGCATCTGTACCACCCCGCCGCTGCATGAAGACGAAAGCACTCTCAACTCACCATGAACATTCTTTGCGAGAGACGGCCGCTGCATTCGAATTCATCCATAAGATCTTCTTCCGTGGGTATGCTGAGCAGACTGAGCAATAGACTTGAGACTATAGTTTGCTCGTAGCGTAGTATAATGAGAGGAGCATTCTGTGATATAGTCGGCAGCGCAAGGCAAGTCCTGAATTTTTACGCTGGGGCTTTGAGGGAAGGTCGCAAGACATGAGGTTAGACAGGCTCCGAAAATGGGCCGGCTGAGCAGCGGAGCTCTGACAGGGATCTCGAAAGCTCGCCCGGCGCGCGCAGACGAACGCGCGACTCAACTTCAACTCCCCACCAACACGCACGCTTCTCGAACACGATACCCTTCCTCGTCGCCGCCGTCCATCCTTCAGTCTTCCAGACCATTCGATCTCTCCCCACAATGGCCGATTCCAACGCCACCCCTCTCGCCGACGGCGCCGACGCGCAAACACCGCTGCACGACGCTGCTGCCGCCGCCACGACAAACGGCACCGACACGAACGGCAGCGTGGATGTGGAAATGAAGGAGGATGATGCACCAGTTGATGTATACAACCCCCTCTTCTGTTCTCCGCTCCGTCCACACCACCACCCTCCCATCCTGCGTTGTCGCCTTTTCTCTCCCCGCCAATTGCTCAGCAACCACACACCTCTATCTTTACCAAACCCCAACTCCACCAGCGCGCAACGACAATCAACCACCCCCTCAAAAAGAAAACAAACAAACCCAACACCTGACACCAACCCCCCCTCTTAGACCCTCCCCCCCGCCGGCACCGCCACCGCCGTCGCGCCCGTCGCCGCAACAACAACAGCAGCAGCCTCCGGCACCGCCCCCGACACCACAACAACGCCAGGCAACGCAACACCGCCCGTCGCCTCCACCACCACCGCCGCCGCTGCCGCCGCCCCCGTCACCACCACAACATCCACGAACATGGGCCGCACCGGCTCGCCGCGCCCCGGCAGCTCGACGCCAAGCCGACAGCAGCAACAAGCGTATGCGCAGCAACAAGGACAAGGGCAAGGACAAGGACAAGCACAGCAGCAGCAGCAGCAGGTACAACAACAGCAGCAGCAGCAGGAGCTGCCCACGCAACCCAACGCGCACGGCAGCCCGACGCGCGTGTACCTGAACCAGAACGTGACGCCGCACCTGTTGGAGGGGATGAAGAAGTTGGCGTTGGAAGAGTGAGTTTGTTTATTTTTTTCTTTTTTTGGTTTGGTTTCCTTTCTTTTGGGAGGGGGGGTAAGCGCAAGTGCTAATGCTAATGATTTGAAATGGATGATGATAGGCCCGAGAAGCCGTTGAAGTGGCTGTCGGATTTCTTGGCTGAGCGGAGCAGGGAGTATGAGCGCGATTGAGGGAAGGGAAGGGAAGGGAAGGGAAAAAGAAAAACGCTCGAATCGGGGGTCCAAAGTCCAAATCGCGCGAGATTGGTTCGGCTGGGGCAAGGATGGTGTGTGGAGGGCATTTTGCGAATGGACTTAAAAAAAAATTAAAATTGGGGCGTTCGATTGGCAGGCTGGGTGGTTGGTGGTGAAAAGCAGAAAAAACGGGACAAGAGGATTGATTGCTGGATCGGAAAAAGAGAAGTCGTTGTATGGCTGGTAGGGAAAAAAAGACGAAACAAAATACCCCAGGATGTGCGTATGTGTGGGTCTGCATAGCGGGCGGCGTTGGTATTTCAGATATGGATTGAGAGGTTCGAGCATGATTGTGCAGGATTTGTCGAGTTCGGGATGCTGATCTGGTGCGATTCTACATAAGCGGATTACAATGCGGGGGTGGGTCAAATAGTAGTTCATTTGCCCGCAAGGTAACTCGAAGAGTCGATCAAGCTGGAGCTGATGGCATATTCTCAGACCTAGTTCATGGTCGATGTCTCCAAGGACGATCTAGACGATTCACGGCACAGTACATAAGGCAGAGGAAGTCGTTCCTATTGATCGCCATTTTTCAGGCGTATCTTGACGTTAACCGCTTATCCTAAGCCACTTTTTGACAGCCGTTTTCCTCCATAGGTGGGGCAGCCCTATTTCGACGCCGCCGGGTAATTTCGCCGTTCATGCATTGAACCCACACAACTCCCCAATCAACTACACCATACCAAGCCACGACAAGCGTTGAGCGCTTAAGCGACGAGGGTGGAGGCGGTGGCGCTCTCGTACTTCCAGGTGGGGGGAAGGACACCGACGGTCTTGTAGTAGCGAGACAGACGGTGGATACGGGACTCGATCAGAATGAGGCGGAACTTGGAGTCACGGTCCTTGCGGTTCTTCTCGAGGTGCTTGCGGACGGAGACGGCCTTGCGGATGAGGCTGGATGGCAATGTTAGCTCACCAGCCAAAAGGGACATCATATATATTCAGAACTCACAAGTAAAGGTCCTCAGGGATCTCAGGGGCGAGACCTGTAGGTATCACTCTGTCAGCCATTGAGACCAATCAGAGGCATATTTTGTCTGTTGTTTGTGGCAGCCATTGCACCGAAGCATGTCCATAGAGCATCACCTCCTTTGGACAAGTACTCCAGTGCGAATGAGCCTTTCAGACGGGAATCAACTGACCGCTGGACTTCAGGATACGGAGAATCTTGTTGCCTGGGAGATTGTTAGAATTATACGTTTACTGCACGCCGAAAGAAGGGCACATACCGGTGACGACCTTGACCTGGGCAACACCGTGGCTGTCACGGAGGACAACACCGATCTGCGAGGGGGTGGCGCCCTTCCTGTATGGACGTTAGTAAGTTGTTCCGACTCGCTGCTGGTGTCGTCCAGCATTTCAGGATAATCGGAAGCCCTCCGCAAAACCCTGGACGCGCACTGCCTGAGCATCTGATCACATCCACTCCGGCTCTCACTCTACCAGTCCTGGCTTCTTCCTCAATCCTGATCTCCAGTCGAACTTGTGCGGTGATGCGGTTCGTGAACGAAGAATCTCCGGCTATGCAGCCGTCTCCGATTCGGAGGGATTTCGATTCCAGCCAAAACTGGCACAAGTGACTGCTTGTTCCAGCGCAGACCATGCAGACCATCAGATGCCCAGGCGACGCGCGACCACACGTTACGGAGTCCAATCCAATTCCCCGACCTGCTTCAAACTTCCGACAAGACATACTTGGCGAGCTTGAAGATCTGGTCAACGACCTGCTCGGGGGTGGTCTTGAGCCACGCCGGGGGAGTGCGAGAGTAGGGGATGGCCGAGCTGGCGATACCCTGATGTCGTTGTCAGCACTTCATGTCCTGGATGGCGATTCTGCAGCGGGGCGGATTTCGGCGGCGCCGCATGTGGTGCAATGTCGTACCTTGCCCTTGGAGTGAAGACGACCCATTTTGACGGATTTGGAAGACGGCTGTCGTTCGTTGAGGTTGGCTTAGTGGAGGCTGTCGTCGCTGGTGTTGGAGGTTTGCGAGAGGTCGGCAAAATCTTGGGCGTTGTGCGCCGGCGCTCGCTTGTTTTTTCCTCCGACTATGGCCCGTGCATCCACCTCAGTCTTCATAGGAGCCTTTTCGCGGCGGACTCGCGTTCCCTTTCTCAACACCGCAACTTTTTTTCTTTCCCTTTCGCGTCGCGCCCCCCACGACGGACGAGGCTCTGCAGACGACATGCGCGTCATGCTTGCGCATACCTTCGCAGAGCCTCCCGTGTAGTTGAGTGGGTAGCCTCGAGGTCTCGTACGTCGAGTCGACGTTTGTAGGACTTGCACCATTCTCTGCTAATAGCCCTAGAGGTAAGCTTTTCACATGCCATCTACCCTCCCCTCGCTGTACTTGCTTCAATGATGAATGGACACATTTGTTCTTATTGGCACCTCTTGATAGATGGCCTATACGCTTGCGTGTAGCGCCAGATGATCGCAACGGACTGTCTGATCGAGCACCAACACATACGCTTTGTTATTGCGCTGTCTGTGCTTCATGTGCTGACATCTCGCGTCACAGATTTGCCTATGGCGCTCGAACCTTCGATTGACGGTCTGGAACGGCCTCGCGCACGTTGTCGAAGGTGGTCTCAGCTGGGACTTGGTTTTCGACGAAGGCACAGCCAATGCGCCTCATCGGAATGTGTCAGGCAGCACTATACAGTGGCTGAGCACAATACTTCGGGTTCGGCAAATGCGGTCATGTTTGCATCAGCCTTGGCTGAAGTATTGCGGCTAGCAAGCTGTTGTGTCTCTGCCTGACCCACGCACTGGCCGATGAAAGACTGCGCCACGAAATGGGGGTACATTTAGGGAAAAGTTCATGTTTGTCGTGAGAGTGCGTTTGTGATTTACTTTAGTAGACTGTAGACGAGCGTAACCAATCAATGTACAAAATTTAGTTCCAGAATGTACTTGACGTTGTCTTGAAGTGTGGTTGCCTAGAAAGCCAAAGCCCCAGTGATACCCGTTGTTAACTTGTGTCTAGTTGCGATATGCGTTGTCTTGACATGCTGCCGTATCTAAGGATGTTTGCCCATTTTGAAAGTGAATTGTTACTTGCGAAGTCAGATGGTGTCGCGTGCAAGCCAATGAACTACCACTTATTTGCCTGAACGTGGACCTGTTACTGTACTCGGAGATTTGAGTTTTGCTACTACACGGAATGCTACTCGTTCGGAACACGCGTATTATACCTTCTACTTTCGATTATAGCTTGTGGGTTGCGGAGACAGACGTGGCGTTCGTCTGCACCCGGTGGCCGCAGGATGACCCGGTGGCGGTCGTATCTGGCGGCTGATATCGGATGATACGGCGACGACGTTGGATCGACTCGCAGGCGACCCGGCCCGTGCCTCAGGCACACCACTAGGGATCGGGAGGTAGCGATGCCATGGTTGACATGCATGTTGTACATCTTTCTGTTGCAACTCTGCTACAGGACCGTTACCGCTTTCGCGCGGCTGCATCACGTACAGGGTTGATCACAACTAGCCAGCAAAGACAGAACCCCGCCTGTCACCGATCAACATGTCACAGCAAAGTGAGTTTGCGCCGCACAGGATAATGCGGGCGCATGCGCCGGCGGTTCGGCAAGAGCAGCGGCCGCACGCAGGAACAACACTTGGCGCATGCGCCCACGGACCAACGTCTCCGTGGGGCACCGCCGCCGCGATAATTGTTGGACACGGACAGGATGGGGCTGCGTAGAGAGCCACACGGGCCACTGTCCGAAATGCGGTGCGTGGAACGAGCGAGGCAGGACCAAAGCCGTGTAACGACCAGCCTTACTGAGATGACTGGATGACCTTCCCGACCAAGTGTAGCCCGCGTCGCCCGCGCTGCCCGCGCTGCCCTGCGGCGCGGCTACGTCCGCTGGCCGGGTGATTCTGATCGGCGCGTCGAGTCCTTCACTTTTTTCTCAGCGTGGCCGTCACACCGGAAATTGCTCATTGAGTGAAATTTAGCGCGCGCGGCGGAGCTGGCTGTTGGCAGCGCAGGCGGGCGAGTGTGCGCGTTGGAGATGGCGGCCAAGAGCGAATATATCGACTTGGTATCCCTGGCTGGCGCGGCATCGCAGAGATTGGCTAGAAAGTCAATCCCATGGCGGCGTTTCAGCGCAACGACCTGAGTTTGCGAAAACGAAACGACCTGCCCAAGACCCCAAGAAATGCCTGTGAGATGGCGGAGTCAGCGCAAGGATCTGGGCACTTGGCAGGAGTTCAGCTCGCACAGCAGCGCGCGGTGCTGCCGCGGGCGGCAGACAGGCCGGCGGAGGGAGTGTTTGCGCGCTGCGAGTGGCCGGCGGCGCACCCGCGCAACAGCGAGGGAAGCTTGCGATGGTCGGCGGGATGGTGGAGGCGGCAGCGCGCGATTGGCCGAGGCCGTCCCCGGGTGCCAAGCAGATCTCTAATTTAAGGAAGCAGGGTTGCTGCAATGCCGAGCGGAGCGCTCTAGGCTGCATTGGGCCCCCCGAAACACTGCGACCGATCCACGGAGACAAGGGAATATATCGTTCGGCTTGCGCCCTCTCTTTTCGCTGCCTCACCTGCCTTCCAACTGCTCGTCGCACGCTGCAGCGCCGCTCATTTCCTTTGCGCCCTCACCAAGTCACTCATTCCTCCACAACTCTCTTTCGCACCACACTCTCCCGCGCCAGCGGCGATCCACGACCATCTTCCTTCCCGTTTCGGAAAATTATCCGCATTCCACAACGTCACCATGAAGAGGCTCCTTGCTCTCAGCGCCCTCACCACCGGTGTCTTGGGCATGACCAATGGCTGCTCGCCTGACCAGACCAATGTCTTCGACGAGTCCGGCAACGCTTACTGCGAGCCCGCTGTCACCACCATCAAGTACACTGGCGTCGGCGGCACTGGCCAGTACAGCACTGTCACCAGCATCGACACTGCCGGTTCCTGCGCCTGGGCCGAGAAGGCCTATGCCGGTTCGCTTGCGCCGTACGACGAGGAGGTACGCCTTAGCTGCAATCCCATCGCACGTCACTCGCTAACCCTAGTAGATCGGTATCATCTTCCGTGGCCCTCTGAAGCTGCGTCAGTTCGCGGCCTACAGCGCCGACAGCTCCGCTAGCAAACTCAAGAAGCGCGGCGAGGAGCGCAAGGCTGAGAAGGAGAAGGCGAAGCGCTCTCCGCGCCCCAGTCCTCACAAGCGTCGCTATGGCCATGGCCACCAGCACTTCCACCAGCACCAGAAGGAGAAGCGCGGCCTCGGTGACATGGTCACCGCTGTCATCGACGGTCAGCTCGTGTCGTGGGTCAACAACTACGCCGGACCCACTGCTGCCGCGGACGCGGGCGCGGGCGCAGACGCCGCTGCGGACACTGGCTCTGCCGGCGTCAACGTCGGTGTCAGCGTTGATGCTGCCGCTGAGCCTACTTCAACTTCTACCACCGCTGCGCCCGTCAGCTCCGCCACTTCCACCGCGTCTGACGACGACAAGGATAGCGTGGACAGCTCCGATACCAGTGGCGAATGGGCGCGCATCTCCCACTACAACTCCGAGGAGAAAATCAACGACGGCATGACTTTCCTCACCCACCCGCCTTGGCAGAACGTGCTTGCCTACGCCGGTGTTTCCGGCATTGAGCAGGCCTCTGAAGCCACTTGCTTCGGTGGCGAGCTTGACAATGCCGACGAGTTGATCATCATGACCGACTCGCCTTGCTCCGAGGACGTTGGCACCGAGTGCGCCTACTTCAAGGATGGTGACGAGGCTTTCCGTAAGTGACCCAATGGCAAGATGCAGCCTGGACCGGTGACTGACAATCGCAGATGGCTTCGGTGGCACCAAGAAGGCCTTCTTCTTCGAGTTCCAAATGCCCGATTCCGGGACTCACTGCTCTGTCAACGAAATGGAGAGCAAGTACGTTGCGGACAACATGCCCGCCATCTGGACGCTCAACGCCAAGATCTTGACCGACCAGTACGGCTGCAACTGCCAGGCCACTGGCTGTGGTGAGCTCGACCTCTTCGAGGTCCTCAACCCTGGCAACAAGCGTATGAAGTCGACCTTCCACGGCAACACTGGCTTCGACGGCGGCGACTCCCACTACATCGAGCGTCCATTCGACAAGTACATGAGCGCCATAGTCGTCTTGGATGACGACACCATGGTCATCAAGGTCCTCGAGGACGGCACTGAGGCCCCGAAGAGCATCACTCAGGCCCAGATCGACGAGTGGACCGGCAAGGACAACGACACCGAGGTCTCGAACATCCTTGGCCAGCTGGCCATCTACGCCATGGCATCTATTTGAGCGCGAGATGGGAAATTCGGCTGTCGAATGTCAACATCCAAAGATACCTTTGCTTCTAGCGATTTGCTAGTGAGCTTTCTGGGCGTAAATAACGGAGGCTGGACGTGGTCGCATCCTAGTGGGAAGAGCTGATCTACACCCTTCTGTATAGTTAATATCTTCTCAAGTGGAGCAGGACGTCTCCTCGGCCTCGGGCTCGTAGCCCGAGAAGCCTTTACGAAGTCGATGACTGGCATGGGCGGGGTCCCCTTCATCTGGTTGCAGCGGTTTACTTTTCTTGCTAGTGTGTATGGTAGTTCAAATCAACGGCCATGAGACCGCCGTTCTGCTTGCCGACGCGCAGTTCGAATGTGAGATGAAGTGAAGATAGACTCTTGCCGGAGCGACAAGGCGATGTCCAAATAAGTGGTGGCCGTGCTCCACGTGGGGAACGCTGCAGGCCGGTTCGCGGCGGACTGGTCCCTAGTTATCCGGCATCACAGGCGGGCTGTGCGCCGTCAAGCCGAGGCAATCCGCCGTACGTGCGAGACGCAGCCGCCACCCAAGACCGCCGAGGGCATCTGTCATCGAAGGCCTTTCGCCGTGGCTGCGAGCCGTCTGCCCACCTTCATAACGAAACATTGCCAATTTTTGTGCTGTCGCAGCGCAGTCTATCCATCTCCTCTCGCTTGCCGCGCCGCGTCGTGCAGCCGAAAGCCCGTCCCCGCATTTCGCAAGGTGCCGGTGAGATTCTCGGCTTTGCGTTTCCAGTTCCAACCTCGTAGCGCCGGGCCTTTCTTTGACATCACCGCGAGCGACCGCACCCCTCCCCCCCGACGCCGCGCCCCCGACTGTCGAGCAAGCACATGAGAGACGTGCCAGCCCGACTCTGAGGAGACGATGGCCTCGCCGCCGAAGCCGTGGGAGAGAGCTGGCGCTGGAGGCACCTCGACCGGTGAGTCCTGACCTGACCCCACGGTCGCCGCCCGTTCCCACGCCTGCGACCAGACGTGAACCGCTGGACTAACTTTGTTCCAGGCGTGACCGCTGCTGCTAATGCCCCTACTAGCACCGTCGCATCCGCAGCGTCCTCTTCTGAGCCTCCTGCCCTCCCTTCACGCCCCAGTTCCCTCAATAGCACCGTCAACCAGAACGCCTCCAGCTACTCCACCATGAACCGGCCCTACGGGATGGGTAGCAGCTACGGGAGTTCCTACTCGTCACCCTACTCGAGCATGGGAGGCATGGGAGGGATGGGAGGGTATGGCAGCTACGGGAGCTCGATGTACGGCCGGTCTATGTATGGCGGCGGTGGGATGTATGGTGGCGGATATGGCGGCTATGGAATGGGCGGCGGGATGTATGGCGGCATGGGAGGCATGGGAGGCATGCCAGGCGATCCGAACAACCCGCAAGGCTTGACTCAATCGTTCAGCAACAGCACTGCAGCCACCTTTCAGATGATCGAAAGCATCGTCGGCGCGTTTGGTGGTTTCGCACAGATGCTGGAGAGCACGTACATGGCAACCCATTCATCATTTTTCGGTAAGTGTACCACTTCCCAGGATGCGCAGGCGTGTGCTGACCTGTACTCCCAGCCATGGTTTCCGTCGCCGAGCAGTTTGGAAACCTGCGTCAAACGCTGGGGTCTGTGCTCGGAATCTTCACCCTGATGCGGTGGATCAGAACCGCCATCGCCAAACTTACAGGCCGCGCTCCCCCCGCATCTTCGAAGGAATTGACGCCCGCGAACTTCCATTCCTTCAACGGCCGTATGCCCGATGGCTCCCCCGCTGCTCCTCGCCCGTCGAAGAAGCCGTTCATCATGTTCATGCTTACTGTCATCGGCCTTCCGTACCTGATGGGCAAGCTCATCCGCGCAATGGCGCGATCCCAAGAGGAAGAGGAGCGCCGGCGGCTGGAGGCCATGCCCGGGGACCAGCAGCAGCAGATGGACCCGACCAAGCTCGAATTCTGCCGCGTCTTGTACGACTTCACGCCGGAGGCCAACACCAACGCCGTGCAAGGCGTCGACTTGGCGGTCAAGAAGGGCGACCTTGTCGCCGTTCTCGGCAAGACGGATCCCATGGGCAACGCGTCCGAGTGGTGGCGCTGCCGCTCCCGCGATGGTCGTACGGGCTACCTGCCCAGTCCCTACCTCGAAGTCATCCAGCGCCGCCCGCAAGCCCAGATTCAGAGCGCGAGTCAGGCCGGCAGCAGGGCGCAGACGATGACGAGCAGTACTGGCTTCAGCCGAACTGGCACGATGACGAAGCCCGAGGCGGAGACGGTGCCGGCGAAGGCTCCACCGCCGATCGAGGGCAAGGCTGGTGATATGGGCGTTGAGAGTTTCCAGAAGGGCATGTTCCAATCTTGAGAATTGGACGTGCTGTTGATATCCGGGTATTGGGGAGTAGGGATGTTTATCGATCAACGACTGGGCTTCATTTCTCTTTCTCTTTTTGCTAGGCGTCGGAGGTGTTCCGGCGGGGAGAAGCGACGAACCCCATCCATTTCTCTTTGTACAAAAGCGCATTCCGGTTCAGGGCTCGCGGAAAAGCCTGGTTTCTTCTCGTCTTTACTTCTTGTGGCTTCTTCTTTCGTAGATGGGTTCGTTTTCCCTTGGATGATTGGGGATGCAGCTGGGCATACAATACGTGATGTAGCAACGGAATCTAGAGGTTTCTGCGCAAGCAACGCAGCCCAAGCCCCCTTGGGCAAATTCGACTCGTGCAGGTGTGGTTTCTCTAATGATGCTGAGCAGTGGAACGCGTTGGCTCTTGGCTGGCGAGCGTAAATCATTCATACTTTTGCAGATGACTAGAACTTAGGAGAATCGACGTGGATAGCCAGTTTGTCCATGGAGATGGAGGCACGTGAGGCGGGATCGCAGGCGGTGACGCAGTTGCCATAGGGCTGAGACTAGGTCACCAGCGCAAGTGCCGCCGCGAGCCCGCCCGCCAACACTTTTCTTCAACCCTGCACTGCCACCACTCAAGTCCGCGTAGCAGACATTCCGGGTCTCTTCCGAAATCCGCTCTTGCTATTCCCGCTCCCACAGCCCCACCTGCAAGCTACATCGCGCAAGCTCCGACCTTGCTCCACCAGGCACCTCCGCCCCGCATCCAACGCAACGCCAAGACACCATGCTGGCATCCAGAAGGCTGGGGAAGGTATGTCTACCATCCTTGTTTCGCGGCACGTAGAAGCTGACCATAATGCATAGGAACTCTCCAAAGTACGTCTGATTCCCCACATCCTTCCGGTCTCCATTCACGCACCTATTCCCCGCGTCCGCTGCTGGAGCACCGAATCTCCGAACCCCCACATTCACCTGCTGCTCAGTATCTGCCATACACACCCCCGGAAATGCAACGCGTTCTTCGTTGGCTGTGTCTCCAGTGTATCGCAGCCCACGCATCTACGCGCCCGGCGCCAAACCCGCTCTTCGCACCGTAACGAGAGTACAAGTGGGGGGGTTTTTTTTTGGACTGGAGGCTAACACTTTGGTTGTCGTTAGCTCCAACTCGGGGAAAGCTTACCGCCAGGTATCACACTTGTGGAGGCCGACAACTTTGAGACATGGCTCATGGACATCCGGGTCATGGACGACAACCCTCTCTATGCGGGGCAGACGTACCGATTGAAGTTCAGGTTCTCCAACTCCTACCCCATCGGTACGGCGTCCCTTTCCCACAACAAATAAAAAGTCCCCTCAATTTCCCTCCCCCGGGTTTCATTAACGCGCGAGAGTGCGATTCCTAGAAGCTCCCGAAGTCACATTCGTCACGGCGCACAACATCGGCATCCCGCTGCACCCGCACATCTACAGCAACGGTATCATTTGCTTGGACTTGCTAGACCGCCAGGGGTGGAGCCCCGTACACAATGTGCAGAGTGTGTGCGTCAGCTTGCAAAGCATGCTGACGGGCAACACGCTGGCCGAGCGCCCGCCCGGCGACGACGAGTTTGTGAGGCGCAATACGCAGCGGCCGAGGGACATCAATTTTTACTTTCATGATGACAAGGTTTAGGGGGGTGGAGAGGGGTGTTGCTGGATGGGGCTCGAGCGGTAGAGCGTTGAGTGGCTGCGAAGGGCGCTGACTTGGTCGGAGTTTCTTTCTCTCTTTCACTCTTTCTTTCTTTCTTTTTGGTGGTGGCTTGGGAGGGTTGGAGGGTTGCATAGGGGGGGTTTGCGGCGCTATCTCAAGTTTTGAGTCGATGCCACGGCATGGTCTTTATTTTGTTCAACCTGGCTTTGGGCATGGCGGTGGTGTTTATGGTAGCCTGGCGCAGTACTGCATTCTGTCGCACCCAGCGGTTTCACGTCTTATTGACTACTCAGAGACGGGTCTGGTGAAGATGTGAGAAATCACGACCCTTTTGAGAAATCATTGAGGATTACGTTTGAAGGTGGGGTCTGCGGGCTACAGTGTTTGGGCATGTGTATGAGTTCTGCGCATGTGATGACTCTCAGGCACCGGTCCTCCTTACAGGAGCTATAAAATCACTTTCGTGGAATGATCGTAGCTTTTCGTTTCAATGTAGCCGCTCCAACTCAAGGTTGTGATCGCCTCGACTCCGGCACTGTGGCCTCGGACATGACGAGAAATGGTACTCCCCGGCCTCATTTCGCCATGCCCACCACTCCTTTGACGGGTCAGTATGTCCCCTTTGAAGCGCATCAGCAACGCCTATCCATGTTTCGCAGCAACAAGAAGGTGATGAATATCTACACCAGGTGCGCTCACTGATGCACAGCATCAGCGTAGACACAGACCAAACTGTCTTTCCAATACGATGTTGCAAGCAAATCCCCAACTAGCAAAAGTCTGGCTTGGTCCGCATCGAAATCGATGTTTCCATCGTCGCCTGAGGTTAGGGTCTGAGAAGCACGTTTGTTGCTGAACGGGGCTGGTCTTCTGCTGATATGTATATGCCTCCGATCATCGTACTGGAGCCCCCCACCACTTGTCATGCGGCGTCAAGTGCAGAAGCATCGCACGTGAGACAAATCCGGTGATGCTTGTGGAGTGAAGGTGCAGGTGGAGGTGGAGAGCGATAAAACGCATGCCCGATACTTGTTCTGCTCCTTCTTCTTCTTCTCTCTCGCTTCGAGTTTTAAGTGTGGCTGGTTCGGGTGCCCTTCTAGTCGATCTAGATCTGGCTATGGGCCATTGCTTTTCTGATGGGCCGGCTCTAGGGAGAAGTAATGAATGGATTCTCTCCAATATATAGGTAGCGGCATCGTACCACACTGCCGGACGCATCCGGACGCCACCCTGACTCGCGCGCAGACAGAATATCCTTCCCAAAGCGGCAACCGGAGCAGCGCCAATGACTCGTATTTGTGGATCGTCGAACACCCTTCATACTTTTCCCGTGCTCTAGAGTCGATGGAAAAATGGAGTGCCGGTTTCGAGACTGGTCGGTTCCGCTTTAACACCACCCATGCGGCAACACGTCAAGCAAGCCGACTCCCCCGGTCGGCCCAGAATGAGCTCCAAGCTGATCCCGGTCCCACCGCGCGAGATCGACGCCGTTCGTCTCCCAATCTCCCCTGCATCCGTCCTCTCTCCCCACGCTGTCTTCTTCCGCAATTGACCCCCTCTCCGGCCCTCTTGGTGAAGAAGCAGACAGCCGTTGCCCCAAGCTCCCGACCGATCCGCTCGTTCCAGTACGCGCCCTGCCTGTCGTGCGAGAGAGAGTCCAGAGCAAAGAACCAGATCGCCGCCGCGCGCACGCACAACCGGCCCTCCGGCCGACCGACGTCACCTGTGCGCACGTCGACAGACCGCAACAAGCACAGCTGGACATCAACCTCC